CATGACCTCTGTCTGGTGCTTCTGTTGTCCCTCCCATCCCAACTCCCTATTTCTCCTTTCTGCAATAGATTGTGATCTATGAATCTTGAGCCTTCTGGTAAGAAGGTCTGACTCTGGTCTACTCTAAACTCAGGGACTCAGGTGGGTGTTGATACTTTCAAGAACTGGTTGGTTCTCCTGGTCCTTCTCGAGACTGTGAGTTGCTGGAAGAAGCCTCACCTGACTGCCTGGCAACTCTTTGATCTGTTACTTCTAGGATGAGAATGGAGGGAGAGCTTTCCTTGACCATGTTGTTGGTGGTGTTCCTAATGTCCTAGCTCACCCTCCCCTGCAAATAACTATATTCCCTTTCCAAAAAGTTAATCCAGGGAAATTCACAGTGCTCTCAAGTTCTCTGTCAGCATGCTTTGGATGGCCAACCCTCAACCCATTCTGCTAGCTAGGGTGTCTACTTTCACTGCTCACCTTTGCCTCCTCTCTTATCTTTCCCTGTAGCAACCCCAATATGTGCACTGAATAAAGTCCTGGAACTCTGCTGGTGAACTTAGGAAATCTCTCTATGAGCAAATTTTTTCATACTATTTTTTAGGGAAAAAGGTGACCTCAATCTCTTATTTTGCCATGATGTAGGTAGCCATGTCAAGTTTTTAAAATCATCTTCCTCTCTCATTTGTCATAATACGTCATTTGACATTCAAGGTTCTTTTTCCTTCAAAGTTTTTTATTATGTTATGAATCAAAGTTAAGAGTCCCTTTTGGAACACATAAATACTTTTTTTTAAAGATATATTTATTTATTTGTGCATATAGAACTGGGGTACAGGCCAGAGGTGCAGGGTTGGTGAGAGGCTTCACCAGAGACAAAGTGGGGAGCAGAATAGGCAGATCCGCGAACTACACTGCTGAGGGGAGCAGCGGCGGGTCAGGAGAGGTCTGCCACACCATGTGGATCACCTCCCAGGCAGGTGGGGATCGAACTCATACTAAAGTGGCTTTAGCTTCATAGTGCTGTGCTTTAACCCACTTTGTCTCTAGGGTTGGCCCATATAAATACTTTTAAGTTAGTTAAAAGTTGATATTAATCAAAAAATCCAGTTATTTTATAACTTCCACCACTCAGCATGTTGGATTCCCATTTTATGTTTAAATTGCCTTCTAAGTGATTTCATGAGTTTTCTTCATTTGTAAGTTATTAAACTACTCTAGAAAGCCATAAATCTCTTGGGGAATGTGGAGTTGGAGAGGACTAGAGTGTAAACACTTAAAACATGCTACAAAGTTGTGCCCAAAAAAAAAAAAATCTATGTTTTTAGTCTGTTGTTGCTGGTGAAAAAAGAAAACTAATAGCTTTTTTTTTTTTTTTTTTTGGCTCAACCTTTGTCTTGTTTCAAGGGTAACTTGAAGATGAGTTAGAACTTAAAATTAATACTTTCTGAATGACTATAGGTTTGTAGCTGGACAATTAAGTCTTAAAGTTACATTTGTCATATCTAGTTTTTGCTATGAAATGGAAATTCTGATGCTCTTCTCATCTTGCTGAGCTTTCAGATTCTGAAATGGTGTAATTTACTCTAAAACTCAGTGATTTCCCTCCACTCCTCTTGCTGGGAACAGATTTAATTACAGAATGCTGCTTGTCATAGATTTTTATTCTTCTAACACATCTCTAGCACTTTCAAAAATCCTGATCGTAATTACATTGCTGGCAAGATAAACTGCTAGTAATTATATGCAGAATTAACTAATATGAATAAAATCCCCTGTAAGATACCTCTGAGACAGTTCTCATTTATGTTCCTAATGTGTGATTTTAGGGTGTGTCTCTGGTGTTGGTTGAATGTGATCAATATTTTCTCCATTTCTGAATCTGAGAATCTTATTATTAGAAAATGTCAGACATTTGAATATTTCTCAAAGAATGGATTATTTTGTATGAACAAATTTCTGGATAACATAAGAGTTGGGTTATACATTGTAAAAAGTATATCTAGATATTATTGGATAAGAAATCATAAATTAAAAAGCATATATTTATGCATACAGAATTGGGAAACAGGCCAGAAGTGCAGGGGCAGTGAGACGATCCACCTGAGACAGAGTGGAGAGTAGAACAGGCCGATTGACAAAGTACACTGCTGCTGTTCGGTGGATCACCTCCAGGTCAGGGATCTAACTCCTGAGGAAGCTGCTGTGACTAGCTGCTGTGCTGCCCTTTAACCCATTGCGTCACCAGGGAGGGTCTGGAATCATAAAAATTTCATCAGGATTTACTAGAGGCAATTTTTCCTAGCTTTAAGATGAAAGCCTTTTGAGTGCATTAGAATAGTCTTTGTATAGACTTACATATTAGGTTACCTGTTTTTATTGAGTTGAATGTCATTGAGAAAGTAGTCATTGCATTTTAGCCACTTAAATTGATAATCTAGATAAAGTTGGGTGCCCAAAGCCAGTTTTCTGATATTTTGAGATTTTTCTCAAAATATTGTCAAAGGTACCATTTTTCATCCCTGCTAGAACTGTTATGAAAGTAGTAGCTGTTCCACCTTCTAGAAATTGTCATTAAATTTTATAATGTAGATGTATAGTGATACTTTTGTCTTATATTTGCACTTCCTAATTATTAATAATGTTGAGTATCTTTCATAGGATTATATGTTATTTATGTATCTTTTGTCGGTTAAATAGCTGGTTCTTACTATGCTCATTTTAAAAACTGATTATTGGTATTAGATTATATTACTTAAGTTATATATGCTGGATATACACACTTTATCCAAAATCTTACAAATACTTTCTTCCAGTCTGACTTGACATTCCACTTTCTTAGCTGTTTCCAAAAAAAAAAAAAAAAGTTTGCAGCAGTTCTCATCCCAGGACTACTTACCCACTTGTGACTGTGCAGGCAATTCTTTTCACAAACCTTTTCTCTGAAAAGCAGCATCTCCATCTCCTTTCCCTTTTTTAATATAATAAACTTGTTCTTTTGGAAATAGAGTTTACATTAAAAGAAGTTTTCCACTGAAATAATTTCAGAGTCACACAGACGTTGCAAAAATTGTAGAGTTCCTGAGTCTCTTACCTGTATTCACCCATTGATAGTATTTGGCATTTGACATAAATATAGTTTAATTACCAAGTTATGAAAGTTGCTGTTGATACAACACTTTTAACCAACAAGGAAAATACTATCATGTGATTAACCACACTACAAACTTTATTCTGATTTAACAGTTTTATGTAAATTGTATGTGTAGTTCTATGTAAATTTATCACATGTAGTAGTAGTGTAATCACCACTACCATGATGATATAGAACTATTTCATCACCCCAGTGAAACTATCATACTATTTATCTGTATAATCACACCCTTCCTGGCAAGTGTGATCTGTTTCCATCACTGTAATTTCTTTTAAGGAAGTTATATAGGTAATATTTAGTCTTTTGATTAGGGTTGTTTTCTAAGCAGTTAGATAATAATAGCTGTTAAAGTGACAGTTCTATATATTGGTAGTGCCATTAGGTTAGGCCAAACTAATGAAGTCAGACTACTTTCAGTGAAGTTTCTTGGCCTTACATCTAAACCAAATCATTGTTCCAAAATTCATTAAGTTTAAGCTTAAATTTATTATTACTTCTTTTAAGTCCTCAGTTGACCTCTAGGACAAATTTTAGTTGCCATTATGTAAATGCATCTGTTTCATGTCCACGTATTTTTCAGTTTATGTCTCACTATGTCATGCATTAAAAAGACCCACTTCAGCCACAGTGCCACAGTTGTCCATAATTCACCTGTGTAGTGAAAACAGCTTAGCAATTTCTACAAATTGTAAGTTTGTTATCAAAACTCACAAAGTGTATATTAAAGTTGTTGAATTTCTTAGGGATTTTGTAGATATATTTCTTCTGTCTAGAAAACTTTTTCCCCCTGCCTGATGAACTCATACCCATTGTTACTATCTGCTCAGTGTAGGTAGCACAGGCTTAATTTCTTAAGGATTCTGCTGTTTTTTTCTTTCATTGCTTTTATCACAGCAGTAGTTACAATTAGGCAGATACCAAACAATGTAAGGTCTCTTGGATCTTAACTGTGAGCTCTGTGAAGAACTAGATGGTGATTACTATTGTATTCATGGGGCCTAGTATAGAACTTGATTCAGGTACTGCAATAAATACTGCATGGCTGGTCATAAGTGACAGCCACGAGTAGAAAAAAGCCTGCATTGACTTTTAATTAGACAAATAATAAGGGACTGTGATCAAATTTAGTTTATTTTTGATGTCCCCAATAGTTCAGGGCAGTATTTTGTTTCATACTCTAATAAGTTAAATGCCTCTTTTTGTTTGCTTGTCTTATATATTTTTTAATCTGTCATGTATCTTATGACAAGAATATATAAGATACCCTGTTTCTTATCCTTTCAACCACTAAAGACTCAACATAGGCATTATACCTAAATGTTACTGTTGGGGTCAAAGGCTTTGTTTAGTGCTGCTTTGAATTTGTTAGGTAGGGGTCATTAAAGCATGGCAATTTGTTGTTCTTTCCTTGTGCTACTGAATGAAATTGTGAAATGTTTTTGCATGAAAAATTATCAAGTCCTACCAAAAATTTAAGTTTTACTTTGTAAATAAATACATTAAAAGGACTAGTTTTACATTTTAAGCTGTGGAAGTGCCCCATTTTAGGTATACTTAATTTGCTTTTACCTTTTAGTCTTCCAGTAAGTGTGTATACATTAATATATTAATACCAGTGACTTCTAAATTAAACTATCCAAGTAAAGGTTCTTTTTTTTTTTTAACACTCATTTTCTAATGTACAATGAAGGCCAATTGGACTGTATGACTTTTTTCTTCCTAATTGTGTTTTAATCAGGTAGTTGTTTAAACATGATCTGGCAGTCTCTGGTGGTATGACTTAACAGGGTGATCACTCAGATGTTAAGTTTATAAGTAATTTCATTTTCTTAACACATTTTTTTTTTGCCATTTTTTACAGCTCCTTGGTGATTTTTTTGGATGAAGCCATTAAATTAAGTACTTGCCATCATGAGTAGAAGCAAGCGTGACAGCAATTTTTATAGCGTGGAGATTGGAGACTCTACATTCACAGTCCTGAAAAGATACCAAAATTTAAAACCTATAGGCTCAGGAGCTCAAGGAATAGTATGGTAAGTTTTTACTTTCAAAAAATCATTAATGATTATTCTTATCTTCTTTCAGTTTCACAACACCATGGTAAATGTTCAGCTTCCTCAAAAAATTAAAGTCATAAAAATTACAATAAAGTTATAAATTTTGTTGACAAATTATGAGCTTTTTATTCATAAATCACAACTTTACAAATGAGTAATCTCTAAATATAAATTATGATTAAATGCTGGTCATATGCCATGTAAAGTCAAATACCTATATCAGGAATAAGTGGTATTATGCTTGGTAATTGCATGTCTACATCTATTCTCATAGCTAATTGTTTAATTAAAAAACTTCACTTAATCATCACTTTCACATTCTAATGAAACTCTGGAATTCTAAAAATCTTATTTTACACTGGAAAATGAAGTCAGCTTATAACTCCCTGTATGTTTTTCAAAATGTATATGTATTTTTAAAATGGATTTACAAGTTAATTTCTACAAAACATATAGGCTTTATAGATCAGTGTATTTGTGTGTGTAAAACTAAAATGCAAAACATTCCTTGGATAGTTCTGCCAGTGATTTCTGATCACTAAGTTAGTGTAATAAGCTAGTATTTTAGGGACTTCTAAGCCTCACTCAAGCACAATTATGTTTTATTACCTTTTAAACCAGTTTGGTTTTGGAATACATTAAAAATTGTAAGTATTTACAAGCTTGTAGTTTTCCCAGATTTTAGAAAAACATTACCTTTACACAGAGATGCATTCTTTGTAGCACTACTTATAATAGCTAAAATTGGTAAGTGCATCAACTATTATGTAGTGAAATGCAATACAACACTTGAAATGAACTTGAGCCAAATATCAAGGATAATTTCTGAAATACATTGTTTAAAAGCAGTGTGCAGTATATATTTAATCTATAGTATCTCCCTCCCTCCACCAATCCAGAAGAGTTATGGAAAATATTAAATTACAGTAAATTTGTGTAATGAATACTGCTGGCATTTTCTCTTTTCTTTATTTTTGAAGCAATTCGTAATAGCAAAAATTACAGAGAAGGAGTCATTTTACAAAGTATCACTGGGCTGTCATTTAATTTAAATGTAAAGAAAATGATTTAATAGGCAGTGTAAGGACCCTCCCTGCTAAGAAGCTAAAGCTACTTCAGCATAAGTTCAATCCCCAGCCCTGGAGGTGATCCACATGGTGCAGCAGACCTCTTCTGGCCCGCCTGCTCCTCCCCTCAGCAGTGTACTTCCTCAATTTGCCTGTTCTGCTCCCCACTCTGTCTCTGGTGAATCCTCTCACTGCCCCTGCATCTCTGGCCTGTACCCCAGTTGTATGCATAAATAAATAAATCTTTAAAAAAAAAAGTCAATGTAAGAAAAATACTTGAAAGCCAACTCTTGGTTCCAATTCTGTGGTCTACTAACTTTGTGACTCATAGCAAATTAACACTCTAAGTCTGTTTTTTCACTTAACTTACAGGGTTGTGAGGAGTATTTATATGATACTTAGTATCTAAAGATTTATTGATGTTTTTCTACCATCCTCGATAAGTGCACTGTGAAATTTGTATGCCAGATTTATTTTACAAGTTGTTCTGGAAGAACCTGAAGCCCTCCTAATGAGTCCCTGTCTTAAGGAATAAATATCTTTGTTTTGTCTATTTTGTCATAAAATATTACTATGATGCTGACAAATATTGAAAAAAATTTAACACCTGTTGGTGTTACTATTAAGAATCAACTGAATTTTTTCTTTAAAGGCATTATTTTGTTGGGCACTAGTTCAAACAGTAGTAGTTATAGGGAGCGCCTCAGTCCCCAGGTGTTTCTCATTTGTATATACATCAGCAATTAGAAATCTAATTTCCTTGGATAAAAAGTAGTGCAACCACCTTAATGCCTGAACTTTTGAGTTTGAAATTTTACTTTAACAGATAAAAAATTACTAGAAATGAGTTTAATAGTAAAAAGGAAAAAAAAGCAAACTTTATTGAAATAATCAGAAATTATAATGAAAATTATAATTTTCATGTTTTAATCTTCTGGTCTCAGCTTTATTTTTTAGCTTTCTAACTAACCTTGGGCAAAATACTTAATCTATAGTCCTGTATTAGGTAGTGGTGAATCCAAATGATTTTCTTTTTCAGTCATAATATTATTTGATTTTAAAATACTTTATTAGTGCCTTAGTTTCTTTGACCTACCTAATATGAAAGGTGTTGGTTCATCAATGTCATAAAGGAGCATATGAAGAGTAATGAGGATGTTGTTGCATTTCCAGAACTATAGGTGCTTCGTTAACAGATATGAAGTATTTTCTTATGTCCTGAAACCTGGCATACATACATATAAATATTTTGTTTTTTAATTCTTCCTCCAAAACAAAACTTTGAGTTGTTTTTTTTTTTTAAGATTTATTTATTTATTCATACAGAACTGGGATATAGGCCAGAGATGTGGAAGGTGAGAGGATTCACCAGGGACAGAGTGGGGAGCAGAACAGACAAATTGAGAAAGTACACAGGGGAGCAGCGGGCAGGTCAGGAGAGGTCTGCCAAGCCATGTGGACCTCCTCCGGGGCAGGAGGGGATCGAACTCATTCAGAAGTGGATTAAGCTTCTTAGTGCAGTGCTTTAACTTGCTGCGCCACCAGGGAGGGCCTTTGAGGTCTTTTTTTTTTTTTTACACTATGTAAAACAATCTATGTAGCCACTTCTCTATGTACCTTCCTCATTATGAATTCATTTTGTGTCCAAACATGTAATAATGTAGAATTATTTGGCACATATTTTTACTAGAATTCATGACCACATCTGTTATTTTATTATCTATTGGACTTAAATACTCATTAAAGAGTTGTGCATTGTGAGTGTACATTGTATGCTGGATAGAGCTTGCAGGGTACCTGATGAAGAAACAATCTCTGTCTTCACTATCCATTGTCTCTTTGAATTCATTAGCATTTTAAGTAACATTGAACAATATTCTACATTGCTGGAATATGCTATAATAGGAATAGAAGAAACATGTTGAGCATCCAAAACTGGAAATTGATCTGCTTGCACTTATTTTTGGAGAAATAAGGAAACTACATTAATGTTTCATGAATGCAATTGTAGGGACTTTTTTTATTGAGCTTTTGTTTTTGAATTTATTACAGTGCAGCCTATGATGCCATTCTTGAAAGAAATGTTGCAATCAAGAAGCTAAGTCGGCCATTTCAGAATCAAACTCATGCTAAGCGGGCCTACAGAGAGCTAGTTCTTATGAAATGTGTTAATCACAAAAATGTAAGTGACCATTTTAGAAAATTTCGTAAGTGTAGGTATAACCAAGATCTGTTCATGAATATATGAATATCAAAGATTTAAAATGTTAGGGGTTTTAAATTGTTCTTCTGCATTTGTAGCACTGTTAAAAGGTATATGTTGGTTTATCAGAAAAGTCATGAGGTATTTTTGATTGAAAAAACATAGAAAAAATACCTCATGACTTTTCTGACAACCCAGTATGTCTACAGTGTAAATTTTTCTCAGCTTTATTAAAGTTACATTAAAGATGATTTCTTTTAGATTGTATAATTTTCAGATACTGCATTTGTGAAAGGAGTTACAAAGGGGTAGGTGTAGAAAAACTTTATTTGGACTTGATCTCGTATTTTTTTTTTCTGTCAGGCCAACATGTCAGAAAATTAGAACCTTTCCACAAAGATGAGAAGTTCCCATTATACTTGAACACTGGAACTTTAATAATGTTATATATAGAATTCACATCATTGCTCTCTACCCTACTTTCACCTCTTTAAATAGTGCTATACTCACTGATGATTTTATTTTGAGGGTATATCATTTTGGTAGAAACTTAAAATATAGCTAAACAGAATTAGGGAAACATTCCTAATTCTAAATCCAAAAATTATAGCAGTTCTAAACATAGAACTTTCACTCATTTTGACAATAGTTAGACTTTTTAAAACTTACATTAAACATACTAATAATTTTTTATTATTTTAATGGAGTGACTTATTCAGAATAAACTAGGAGTGAATTATGCAGTGGATAGTTTTATGAAGTGTTAAATTCAAAACATCCTACTGCACATCAGTTCATGGTATTTGTCCAAAGGAGCTTATGAAATATACTTTCTGATTGCAGATAACACAGTATACAATATTTTGAGAGCTCTGTGCAAGCATTTGTGTATTTCTGTAAGCTTCTGGTATTGTAGTTACTAATTAAGGAGGAAAATTCATGGATATTAAATGAGGCTCCTTATTTAACCTGTGTAGTAGCAGAGGGAATAAAAGGAAGAGTTCAGGCACTATAATGGTTAACTCTCTTAAATATTTACTAGTACAAATTCTGAAAAAGGATTAAAAAATCACTGAGCCTTCTAATGCAATGAAGAAGGTACCCTGGAAAATGAGCTTAGTAGGAATGATGATGAGTTAAATTTTATATTTTTATATTTTGAAGCTTCCATATGAAGTGTCAATATATGTTTGAGACTCAAAAGCTAGACACGGACTTTTAATACTCATTTGGAAATTACCTACTTGAAGATTTTCAGATTTTCATATTATATAGGTAGTATCACTCAGGAAAAGGGTGCAGGTAAAGAGAAAAATTAAAGACAAAATAGTTGGCATACCTTTGAATGAACCAGTGAAATTGACTGAAAATGAGGAAAACGGGAAAAGCAGTATTATGAAAAGCTGAAGGAGGATGAGGGCTGAGATTTATGTAAAGATACTGAGTTGAATGATAGCTTGGAGAAAGTATTGAAGATTTGCTTACAAATTATGTACATATTATGTATTATATTAGGTCCTTGATAATTGAGTGTTCATTAACGGCATAGATTATGTGGGGTTCTTCTGTTGATGAGTATTTTAGTGCTTGAGAATTCCCATAGAACCTCCCCCCATAACCCTTTACCTCCACGTGTATAACTTTCCCCATTATCAGTATCCTTCACCAGAGTAGTACATTTGTTATAATCAGTGAACTTGTGTTGATATACATTGTAATCACCTAAGTCCATAATTTACATTAGGGTTCACTCTTGTACATTTTATGGGTTTGGGCAAATGTTTAATGGCATGTGTCTACCATTAGAGTAGTATACAGAGTATTTCACTGCTCTGAAAATCTTTTGTATTCTTCTCTCTCTCCTTTCCAACCCTTCACTGTAAGTTTATATAAAATAAGTGACGTGAGCCATAGATTTGAAAGGTTTTAGACTGGTAGTGATGCATTTTCTTTAATCCATTTATTTGTAGTTTATGAACCAATTCCTAATCTTTTATCTCTACTTCTATTATAGATTATTGGCCTTTTGAATGTTTTCACGCCACAGAAATCCCTAGAAGAATTTCAGGATGTGTAAGTGTGATCACTAAAATTTTGTTGTTAGTTAGTACATTACTGTTAGGTTGTTGCTATACATTTAAGTGATCATGTTTTTTTCACCCTGAAGTTACATTGTCATGGAGCTCATGGATGCAAATCTTTGCCAAGTGATTCAAATGGAATTAGATCATGAAAGAATGTCTTACCTTCTCTATCAGATGCTGTGTGGAATCAAGCACCTTCACTCTGCTGGAATTATTCATCGGGTTAGTAGAAAAATATACAAATTTTCCAATCACTGAGGTGCTGCTTTCCTTTTAATATAGTGTAAACTTCCTTAAGATGGGGTCATATGGAAAATTCTACACAGAAATTTAGTTGCATCAGCATGTTTTGTTGGATTTGTGGCACCAAGATATCGGCGTCTCACCTCTATAGGCAGACAAAAATGTTATAAACAAATTTGTATGATTTCAGATGGGAAATCAGTAATGGAAAAACTAGTGTTTTGGCTCCTTAGAATTGACCTTCTACTGCCAATTTGAAATGTCAGATAACATTTGCTTGGATTGATATAGAATGACCCACTGTTGATTGGTAATACTTTAAAATGAGATTTTTTTTAAAATGTAATCTAGTATTCAAGTGAATGTAAATGCCAACTTAGATCTTTTTTTCTTTTGCTTTAATAGTTTGTGTGTGAGATGACTTCCAAATTGCTTTTACTCCATCAAAATTCTCTAGTTAATCATAATTGCTAGTAAATAAAGCATTAATAACTTCTTTAAACACTGTATATATTCATACATTTAAAATGTCATCAAGCTCATTTCTCAGATTCACCTATTCTGATGAACCTGCGATGAATGTCCATTATATAGGGAGAAATGAGCAAGATGATGAATTATTTTATAAGTTAACTTGTAAACTGCAAAATTTTATCATAGCAGTCATTTTTTATTTTTATGTTTTGAAGGACTTAAAGCCCAGTAATATAGTAGTAAAATCAGACTGCACTTTGAAGATTCTTGACTTTGGACTGGCCAGGACTGCAGGAACTAGTTTTATGATGACACCTTATGTAGTGACTCGCTACTACAGAGCACCTGAGGTCATCCTAGGGATGGGCTACAAAGAAAACGGTCAGCAAACACTATTTACTTGAAATACTGTTGTGGTTTATTTGCTTTTGTTTATTAGTTTCTTATGTAATTGCTTAGCTCTCATGCACAGAGTAAGATGTGTATCAATTTGAAACATTTTTTGAGAGTTTGCAAACAACTATAAACTTTGTCATAAATACTCGAAAAAACTTCAGGGCCCTTGTTATTTCAATATGGATAAAGAAATTTTTGTCCTTACCCCTGAGGCAGAATGTATGCCATCTGCTTGCCTATAATTTGAAAATAATAAGCATTTTTAACTTAGGCTCAAGGAAGTATGCAGTGTCCAATATAAACTTTAAGAGCGACAATATGGCCATTCTACAAAGCTAATGGATATTAAGGTGACCTTTTGGGCAAGCAGTTTTTTACAAAAGCCTTGTGTCAGCCTTAAAGAAATGGCATTGTTATTTATGGATATATTCAATTATATATATCAGTATTGGATTCAAGATTAAAGAAAATTACCGGAAATGTAATTCATTAATTGAAATTGCTATATATATTATGAAGAAATGTCATTGAAATCTCAGATTTAGATGTTTAGAATAAATCTATACAAGATTCTATTGACTTAAATTATAATTTAGAAAATATGGTGACTTCATCTAAAATACATATGACCTTTAAACCCCATAGATGTTAGGAATACTTGCTGCCATGCAGTTGAAAAACTTTGAGTGTAACTCTTCTTTTCTCCGGGTACACCTAGTGAGAGAAACTGCTCAGGGGTGAGGATTTGCATCACGTAGTGTTTCCAGTGAATGCTAATAACAGTGCAGAAGACAACAGCAACTGGAGGTGGCTGTGAAATTATTACAGCAGTAGAGCTTGTGCTGCAAGTAATTTTATGTAGCTGTGTTTTAATACTGCATCATTATGTTTGCTTACATTTCTCTGGAGTATAAATGCACTGCATCACGTACAGTGTGTTTGTGTTGAGTCTTGATAATTTTAACTTTTTACAATAGATTTGTGTTTATTTTATAGTCATAAATGATAAAATAACTATTTTTGCCCCATTTACTCCTTAAATACAGACTATTATTTACACATTTATACATTTACAACATAACTTTTCAATATTTCTACTATGCATTTCATATGAAATTGTTTTCAAGTTGTCACAAACCTCCAGATTTCTAATATTGTGATTGAAAAAAAATCTTAGTATAGACTTGCACAGTTTAAACCTGTGTTGTTCAAGGGTCAACTATGCTCCCTTAACCTAGACATTTTTTCCACAAAGAATTTGGAATAACAGTTCACTATGAGTCAAGAAACTGTTAAGTCAACCTTAAGAATTCTTTTTGATAAAAGATAATAATGAATTAAGAATTCTAGCTTACTTCCATTTTCCAAGCCAGTTTTAAAAAATTTTAAACTTTCACTGTTTTTTTCTTAAACTTACAGTTTTGTTTTCTTGCTCTTCACCTAAAATTGTCTTATTCCTGTAGAATCCAGAAGGTTGGATTTAGTCGACTTTTTTTTTCTTTTGAGAATTGATACAAGTGGCCAGTGTTAATATTGCTTTTGTATTTGCTGTAAAGCTGCTATTCTCACAGACAGTGTGTAATATGTATCACACAGTATCCTGTATTTGTGATCTGGGAGAAGCTCCATACTAAAAGCTAGCACCAAGCAAAACTGTCATGTAAAGAATTAACATGCTTCCTTGTTCTAGATAAGTAGCATGTAGAGCATCTTTTTGTTTACCCCCACTCTCCCCCCCCCCCCAGGAAACCAGTCAGATAAATAAGATAACTATTTAGCTTGCAAAGTTAAATTTAAGAACCTCTTTCTTTTACTGACACTTTACCCCCCTTTGTTTTATCTGTCTCTTATGACAAATTACCTCAAAGCTGTTTGGAAAGTGTGATATAATGGAATATATTTTAACTGCTTAGTAACTAAGCAGTTAGACCCTATAAAGCTAGTTTGTGGTTTAAGTTTAGCATGCTCTTAGAAAGTTTCAATGGCCCACTATCTTTAAAGTGTGTTTTTCTTAAGTTGCCTACATAAACTGTACTGGTACGTTAGAGGAAGAATTTATTGTAATATATTATTGCTAAAGATGAAAACCCTGGAAAATGTTTGCTGAATTGATTTATGAATATTAATTAACATTTCTTCAAAATTTTGCCCAAGAAAGTTGAGTCATGTGATAAATGTAAAAGAATTTGTATGTGTTTTAATACGAAACTTTAGGTGAATTTTAGTTCCACAGGATTTCCAAAATCATTTCCTATTTAGCACCTCTCATTTTGAAATGAACTGTCAGCCTTCTTATAAAAGTGTACTAGAAAATACAGGATTTAATTTAAGACCTCCTTTTACCCCCTTAAGTAGGTACAAGGTATATCATTCCCGCCCTTTTCTCTTTTGCTATTTAAGAATTTGGACCTTCAAATTTTGTAAGGCTTTTTTACTTAAATCATGTATTCTTCCCCTCTTTTATTAAACTTAAACACTTTTTTTCCTCTTTTTATCTGACTTTTAAACCCAAAGATAGAAAATGGCAGGATATTTAGTTAGTTTGAATGTAATGGGTGAAGATCCCAAAATTGCTATGTCTAGCAGATTGTTTTTGGCACTGATTAGAGCTTCCATTTAAAGCTGATGAGGATCAGTAAGTCTAGGACGCTAGATAATAAATCTATGGGAACTTTCATAATGCATCTAGGCAAAAATAACTTCTTAAGCCAATAGTTTGATTTTTTTTTAATGGGTTTAAAAAACTAAGTGGAAAATGCGAAATTTGCTTCTTTTACTAAGTTTTCTTAACTAATTTTCATTCTCCACACATTTGTTTCTTTTAGGATAGTTGAGTAAATGTAGTATGATGTTGCTAAGAAAACAAACGGCTTCCAATTCAAAATAAACATAACACTTCTGAAATCAATTTGTGAAATTTTTCTGAAGAGCTTTATATGAATTTTTTTGCTATAATTATTCATAGAAATGCATTCTTTCTGTTAAATATTTTAATACACTAGATTATTTCTGCTCATGCTTTTTTTCTTCATTTGCATTAAAGAGAGAGTACAGTGCACAGTTGAACCACAGAATGGTTATCAGGTTTGGTTTTTGTTTTGCTAACCTTGTAATTTTCAGACTTTATATTAATAAAGTCCATGTTTATCTCATGTTTTATAAACAAATTTTCAGTGAAATGTGTAGGTCTTTTAATTATGTGATTTCTGTGCATAGCTCTCACTTTAAAATTAGGTATGTAGTAAAAGACCACACTCCATATCTGCTTTCATGAAAAGCCTTTTGAAAAATAATTTGTTTTAAAAGATTCCATTAGCTAAAATTACAATCACTTTTTTCTTTTTGTGATGTTTTGCGATTTTTATATAATGCAGTCATATTATGCTTCTTTGATTTTAACAACCTTTTGCTTTGCTTTTCCTTCTTTTTGTGCTGCAAACATATAGTGGATTTATGGTCTGTGGGGTGCATTATGGGAGAAATGGTTTGCCACAAAATCCTCTTTCCAGGAAGGGACTGTATCCTTGTGCTGCTGCAGCAGTTTAATTAGTCAGGTGATGAACTTTCTTATGTTCGCCAATGACAATGAATATGGTACATTCATACATAAGGGTTTTTTAAAATAGACAAAGTTTGTGGCTGTTAGAGTCAAAAATTATTGAAATAAGAAACTGAAGTATTTGTAGGCTGCATCTGGCAGTAGGACATACAGTCTCTGCTGGTAGTTAGAGCACATTCACTGTCACTCATTTTTATTTTATACTGCTTTTTATAATTTTAGTATACATGGTGTGCGTTTTTTTTTTTTTTACTGTTTCTATTTTTTTTATTTTAATCAAAATCTTTATGTTAATGTCATTGCATTTTGTTTTCAGTTGACATTTGGTCAGTTGGGTGCATCATGGGAGAAATGATCAAAGGTGGTGTTTTGTTCCCAGGTACAGATCGTATCCTTATCTTTGGCCTAAAATGTAGTTTCTAAAGGTCAAAATGTATGACAGCACTTCAGCTTGGTCAGGTATAATGTATTTTGTCTCCCCCTAATAATAAAGTATTGCTAAATTACTCTTTCAAAATACCACCTACTATTTGACAGACTTTCCTTTCCCTCATTTATTGATAGTTTCATGTTAATTCTTAAAACTGCTCAAGTTCAACTACTGGCTGACTTTGAGTTGATTCATCTAATCTCAGTCAAAAATCATGGCTTACATTAATTTTTTTCTAATAATTATATACTTGAATAAATCTGGAGGTATTTAGGAATTAAATATGGATTTTGGAATTGTCTGTTGGTTTCAATCATCCTTTTCTTTTGTTCCTCTCTCCCCTTCCTCTCCCCCACATATCTTCATTTTTGTTAATGTTCTGTGTGTTTTGTGGTTTTTGGTTGTTCTCATTACTCAACATACTGCTCTTTTCAGGAATAGTTTTATATAGTAGTGAGTAGATTTGGGTTCATGCTTTTTGTTCTTCTGTTTTTAATATTTGCATTACAGTGATTTATTTTTGTCTATTTGTAACACTTAGAATTGTATTATGAGAAGGAGAATCTATTTCAATAGATTTATAATAAGAAAGTTTTTTAGGTCTTAGTCTGCAGGGAGTATATAGACTAGGAAAAAGGAGAGTAGAGAATTCTAACCTTACAAATATAAAACGCTGCACCATTTTGAAAGTTTCAGAGCTTTAAAAAATTTTTATTAACACAAGTTAAAGCAATTGCCACATTTATCAAAGCCATTTTTCTACTGCTAATGATTTTAAATTAGTATAGAAAATCAGAAAACCAGGACAGAATATAAGTATTTTTTATCCTCTAGGAAATGTTTTCATATTTTTTGATAAGTTCAAATAAAAGGCAAAAGGTTATATTTTAGAAGTGTGCAGTTTACATTCAGAGTCACTTTGGATAGCAGTTATATAACTTGAGTCACTTGCATTTAGAATTTGTACGTTTCAAGTGCACATTTTTATGATAACAAGTATTATTAGACATACAATAAATAAGATTGGCAGAGCTTGTTTATTGATCCTTTCTGTTCACCTAAGATCATGGCATTTTGCAAGGTGACTATAAGATATAGTTTATAACTGCCACATTCTTTCTAGAGACTTTTTTAAATTGCCGTTTTCTTTTTACTCTAATTGGATATGACTAATGTGTTCAACATTAGATACAAGTATTTTTCTTAGCTACTTGATAATAGATATTGATCAGTGGAATAAAGTTATTGAACAGCTTGGAACACCATGTCCTGAATTCATGAAGAAACTACAACCAACAGTAAGGACTTATGTTGAAAACAGACCTAAATATGCTGGATATAGCTTTGAAAAGCTCTTCCCCGATGTACTTTTCCCAGCTGATTCAGAGCACAACAAACTTAAAGGTACTTTTTTCTTATAAATACATATTTAATCCGTGTGTGTGTGTGTGTGTGTGTGTGTGTGTTTGTATTAGTATTTTTATGGGATTTGACCCAGAATTATTGCTGGATGGTGGGATAAATCTACTCTTTCTAAAACTGTTTTTTACTAAGATGATTTCAAATCTTGGAAATGTGTTGATAATTTAAAAGCCTTTTTGAGAATCTATATACATTAACATCATTATTTCTGCAGCCAGTCAGGCAAGGGATTTGTTATCCAAAATGCTGGTAATTGATGCATCTAAAAGAATCTCAGTAGATGAAGCTCTTCAGCACCCATATATCAATGTCTGGTATGATCCTTCTGAAGCAGAAGCTGTAAGTTCTTAATGCTTAAAGAATGCATTGTACTTTTTGAGTTATAATTAAAGTCAGGTTTGAACCTTTTCATTTATTGTTTTATGTTTTTCAGCCACCACCAAAAATACCTGATAAACAGTTAGATGAAAGGGAACACACAATAGAAGAATGGAAAGGTAATGTTCACTGGATTCCTCGAGATGATGCTGAAAGAACTCCTGGCTGTTTATGTTGATTTATTCATCATGTTAGGAAAATAGAAGATATTTTTGCAATCATGATATTTAGTATTATGATTGGTTTCACCAAAAAAGAAAGTGCCCTTTCCTCCCTGCCTTCATCCTAAACTCTCATACCCTCCCCTCCCCCAGACACTGAAATATGAGCGGTTTTTGGAGTTTATATGTTCTTCCATAGTCTTCATACAAATAATGTGTGTTTAGTTTCTCCCCCTTCTTTTATCCTGTCCTGTTTTGCACATAAATGGCTGTATACTTTAAACAGTTGCTTTATTGATAATACATGATTGTATCTTCAGGGTTATTTTTTGTCCACTTATTTGCCTTAACTAATTTAAGAGCTTGTATTTTGCTATATGGCTTTATCACAGTTTTAAAAACTCCCTCTTGAAAGGCATTTAAGCTGTGTCTATCCAAACTATTGTTACGAATAATTCTGATCACATATTAGACCTCAGCTGTTAAAAAAATGTCCTTAGAGATTTGCCTGGCCAATGGATATTTTACAGTTGTTATCAAAATACTCACCAAAGAAATTACAGCAGTTTACATTTCTGTCAGCATCGTTTAAGATGTTTTTACCCATACCCTTGACAACAGGATCAGGTAATTTTTAGTATTTGCAAATCTATAATTTTTATATTATTTTACATCATTGTTCCTTTTTTTTTTTTTTTTAACATTTGCTTTCTTTTCTTAGGTGTAGTCACCATAGAATTTCCATCACCAGTTCACCTGTGCCACCCTCACTTTGGTCTCACTCTCTTTCCCCCTCCTTCCCTGCAGGGTGTCTCTGATTTATAGTTGACTCTTTATTGTTTTTTATTTTTTTTTTGTTTCCTCCCTTGGCCCTTATTTGGTGCCCCTGTATTCTTATAAGTGAAACCATCTAGAAGCTTTTTCCTTCTGACTTATTTTATTGAGCATGATCCCTTCTAGCTCCATCCATGTTTCTGCGAATGGCAGTATTTTATCTTTTCAATTGCTGATTAGAATTCCATTGCATGTATGTCCCACATCTTCTTGATCTAGTCATCTATTTTGGGACATTTGGATTTTTTCCAAGTCTTGCCTGTTGCAAATAATGCTGTAGTGAACATAGGGGTGCAAGTATCCTTTTGAATTAATGTTTTAGTGTCCTTTGGGTTGATCCCTAGGAATGGAAATACTGCATCACATGTAGTTCCATCTTTAGTAGTCTGAGGAACCTACACACAGTTTTCCGTAGTGGTTGTACTAGTTTGCATTCCCACCAGCAGTATAAAAGAGTTCCTTTTTACCATGTCCTCCTCAACATTTGTTGTTGCTAGTTTTTTTAATATGTGCCATTCTCACTGGTATGAGGTGATACCTCATTGTGGTTTTGATGGCAAATCTATAATTTTATGAATTCAGTTGAATATCAATAACTTGGTAGTCATGGAAATGTTAAAATATTTCTTCTTTAAAAGATGCTGTGGGACATTTGGGCCAGGTAATATCTAGATCTTGTTTTACCTTCATTTGTTGTCAGTGTTTTTGCCCCTTTTGTAATTCCATGACTTTGATAAGTCTCTTGACTTGCATTTTTGCCTGATCTTAAAATGGAGATAGAAGATATATTACTAACAACTAAGAACATAAATAATGTGAAGGTAAAAGGGACTAGTAGGAAGGGTTAGACCTGCACATACACACACACATATGTCTCTGTGTTTACATGTGTGTATATCAATTATTTGGAAAGGGAGGGAAGAATGTTTCTTCCCAGGAGTTACCAAATATGTTTTCTTCAAGTTGACTTTGAAAGACACACCTTTGGACTCTGTAAGAGTCAACCAAAATGATAGAAATGGATAGAATATACTATAGTAACTAATATGTAAGGGTAGAACTGTGGGTCAGCCTGTGTGTTAAAATACCTACCTGATACTTTTATCGTTACATTTACAATTGACATGTATAGTATTTCATCGACTCTTAGTAGATTACCAATTGTAAAACACACTGTTATGTTCCAGTAAGAAGGAAAAACCACTGCCAGTTACAGTGCACCATTAATTAACCTAATTTCAGAAAAGTACAAGTTATAATCATTGAAACATAGTATTTCTGTTTATATATAGCTATATCTAACATTTTTTATTAGTTTTAAGAATGTTATCTTTATACTACTTTTTCCTAACCTCAAGTGTAGTTCAGTACTATTTTTTTCAAGATCTATTTGAGTTCTAGCATTGTAACAAAAATTTATTACCAATGCTATTAACTACACATTGTTTTTCCTAGGTGTGAACCCAAGAAGATTCCATAGTGAGCAAACTTAGATATCCCTAGCTTGTGTTCGTTCCAACATGTCCATTTGTTTAGTCATTTACCAACTCTTAAATGTTGTCATATTCTGTAATTAGAGGCTCTTTATCCCAAGTTTAAGATTTACAGATGTCTTAAAGTTCTGTGGAACATTTTTTGCATGTATATTTTTCAGAGGAGAATTTACTACATTTATGCAAATTTCAGACTTCCACGACCCAAAGAAGATGATGAATGATGGTGTGGTAGCATTCACCAGAAGATTCTTCTTAAGTAGTTATTCAGACTGACAAAGCAGATTACAGTTGACATGAGGATCACTTAAAAAAAATACAGGGCAGGAAGCATATACAAGCAAAGGCAGCATCTGGTGTGTGTATTTATTTGAAGCAAACCTCACAACAGTCTACCTACTGCCCAGACACTTAGCAAAAAACAACAAGATTTTCATGGAAAAATCTTGACAGTAGCAGTATAGCTGCCTGCTTATTTTCCTCTAATAGGAATATATTTATATTCCACTTTGATCAAAGAAGCTTCCATACACTCTGATTTAAAATCTTAACCATTATCTAGGTAAGCGTCTACAGAGTACCAGGTGCTATGCCAGGGATCAGTAAATAGAAATGAATAAGACTAACATGATTCTAGTTCTCACAGAGACAGAATCAGGCAATTCTTTTAGTGTAGAATGATATGTGGTATGATGTGGCATGTTACAAAATTCTGGTAGACTAAGAAAGATAAAATTCTAAATTCAGCACTATTCTTAATCCAAGCTTAGGAACATTAGTTAAGCAGAGATTTTGTTTCTTTAATTATAATTCAAAGAGGAATTATTGACATCTGCAGACCCTCTGCCATAGTAAGGACATCATTTAAAGTACTTGATGTTTGTAAATTTTTACTTAAAATTTATTTTGTGAGATTGGCTCTCAAGCTTTGAAAAGTTCATTTTTGTTAACATCTTTTTTCAGAATTAATATACAAAGAAGTTATGGACTTGGAGGAGCGAACCAAGAATGGAGTTATACGAGGGCAGCCCTCTCCTTTAGGTTGGTTACAATATAAACTTGATTAATCGTAATTTCTCTCCTATAATCCCTAGTGACCTGAGAGCAGTAGCTCTTTCAGTATTTTCTGTCATTATTTACATTTTAATAATTATAAGAAACACATTCAGGGCAGTTAAATTTAAAAGCAGTGGTACACTGTTGTACCAACACATCACAATGTATTCATAAAATGCATATCTTTTCTTTTTCTTCATTGACATTCTGCAAAAGAATGGAATTTTACAATTTTTTTGGTATTGTCAATAAAGAAGAAATTATAATATAGCTCCTATTTTGTAAATATACATATATATATTGGTTTGAACAATCCCCTACTATTTAGTTGTAACAAAAGTTATAAATGCTTTATTAGCATGGTTAACTAATTGTATAAATACATACATAGTACTATAATTGTTCATGATAAGAGGTGTGAGATTGAAAACTCCATTATTGAGGAAACCTTTATACGTTAGCATAATACCCAAGTGATGTCAAATGTTTGAGTAAACTCAGTAATCTCATAGGATAGCTAGAACAGTTATAGTCTTAATTTATATGTAAAAAATTTCAGTACTGGACAATACTTATGGTTACACAATAGGTAGTGAAAGGACAGGACTATGGATTACTTGACATTGTCTAGATTCTCAAAGAAGAGTATTGGTAAAATAAGCTGTTATAAAAATACTCAGTTGTTGCTTATATAAAAACAGAAAGTACAGTCTGACAAATTATCAGATAATGATAATACTATTTTTACTTGGGTTTTAAAAATGAAATATATTTCTTTTCCCTCTGAATTGCCTTCCTGTCTTTACTTTGGTTTGACTACTGTTGTGAATTTTCATGCTTGGTCTGCAGCTCTCTGCAACTGATTTGCTGTTTTGTTTCTCATAGCACAGGTGCAGCAGTGATTAGTGGCTCTCAGCATCCATCGTCATCGTCGTCTGTCAATGATGTGTCTTCAATGTCAACAGATCCGACTTTGGCCTCGGATACAGACAGCAGTCTAGAAGCATCAACTGGACCTCTGGGCTGCTGTAGATGACTACTTGGGCCTTGGGGGGTGGGGGTGGTAGGAGGGATGGGGAATCGTTTAGTCATCGATAGAACTACTTTAAAAACAATTCAGTGGTCTTATTTTTGAGTGATTTTTCAAAAATGTAGAACTCATTTTGTAGTAAAGTAGTTTATTTTTTTTTAATTTCAAGTGATGTAATTTAAAATTTAAGTTGTGTTTTAAAACAGCAACAAAACTGTATTGTATTTTTGCTGTAATTAACTGTATAATGTAAACTTAATTATTTTATCATGGTTTTAAAATTTTTGCATATTTGCTTTATCTTATGCTGCTGATTTTTTTTACTGATTTTGTAAGATTTTGTTTATCAAAGCAACTATTATGTGGTGACTTGCCTATATCATGAATTATTTAAGATTTTTATAGTTTTTTATTAGAATTTATTTCAAATGTTTTGTTCATGACGCTATCCTTCAGGGTTATGTGCTTATCAATGAAATTACCCCAGAGGAGTGAGGGAAGATAACCTGTAGCCAGTCCTATTCAGGAATAACTACTGTAAATGATGAACGTTTTAAAGAAAACCTCCAATGTTTGCTACTTGCCAACCTTAACATAGTTAATACAATTGGTAGGTAATCCTATATAAATTTTGGTTAAAAGTCCCATTGTTTAAGTGGCAGAATGACTCAGAACATGTCTTTGAAGATGCTATGTGTCTGCCATCACCTTCCTTCCCCACCACCCCCAACATAAGTAAAAAGAATATGGTGTTTGCTGCAAATTTGTGGCATGCTTGAAACTTACGATCATATAAAGTCAAGAGGATACTTCATGAATAATACATTTCAATACAAATAAACAAATGGTTCATTTCTACTAGCTATGAGCCTTTTTTTTTTTTTTTTTATACACCGAGTTAATCTGCTCAGGCTGTATGTCCCAGCAGTGATCTAGAGTCTGGTCTTTGCCTTTCCTGCACCCTTGGATCTTTCCAGTTTCTTATTAAAATATCCGTCAATTGAGCACCAGTTTGCATGGTGTTTCTGGCCATTTGATTCTAACTGTGTAGCATAATTATATTTATACTAACTGTTGGGAGGTTCCAATGCCTACTTAGATTTCTGTAGGTGTAATGTATCAAATGAGCAATATACCGTTCATCTGAAAATAGTAGCACACAGCCATATATAGGATATCATTTTCTAAGGACTGTTTCTTCACATTGAGCAGAGCAGGCTTAAGTGGTGATTATTTTGTCTTAGTCTTTAATTTTTTATACCTGATTTTCAATAAAACATGCAATTTGGATGTTGAGTAGTGTAAGAATGGTGCTGCTCCTGACAAGTGTATGTTAACTGTTTACATTTTATATCTGCAGAATTATTTCTCTATAACTGAATTTTTCTTAAGTAAAATGTCATTGACGTCTCATTATCTCAGAAATACATTGTCTGTAATGCCCCAGGCCCCTTTGGTTTGTTGGTTGGTTTGTTTTTGCTTGTTTATTTTGTTTGGAACAGGAAGGACTTCATGTAATGAACTGGGAAATGCAAAAATAAGTGACAAGGTTGTAGGCAGAAAACCTATTGGTATTGACCACCAGGAGCAAGAACTGGGACAGCTCAACATGCATTGCGTGAACGTTCTATTGGCATGTTATTTGTATATATAGTGCAAAATTCTTTTGAGTAAGGTATTTTATTTAGGTCATTGTTAATGTGCAATACTTAGGATTAAACTACATTAGTCTCTTCATGTTTTGAAATACCAACTTTGTTTTTGATTGTTTAAAATCATGACTTCCATTCTTTTTTAAAATTTTTTTCCTTTTCCTCATAACATGGTGCATTAATTTTATTTGCCAAAGTGGAGTTTTAAGAGTATGATACCCCTTGATTTGTAGAAATAGGATCGGATATATAGAATTTCAGCAAAATGTTGAACATCAGTGTGTCCTCTGTTTGTCATTTGACAGTTAATTAGCTTTATTTTCTCTAGAATAGATTATTTCACTATTGCACTTTAACAACTGACATGCTGATAAAAGATCCCAATGTTTTATGTTTGATTGCTGATAAAGCCATCTCTATTGATACAGATTTTGACTAATCAAGGAAAACCATGTGATTTTACAGTGTCATTTGTTGTAAAATGCCAGCTCCCACTTGCCAACCAGCATGTTTAAGTTGATTCAGAGCAAAAAAAAATTGTTATTCTTAAAGACAAATTCTTAAGTTATATCCTGGAAACAAAATCTGCTTATTAAATATTGCATCTAGGCTTTTAAAATATAATATCTAAATACAGCTTTCCCTCTTTTAAATCTGTTAGGCTAAGGATGTTCTAGTTCTATTTATTTGAGAAGCTTGAATCTTTAAAACATCTTAAATATTTGTGGGATATTTTTTTAAAAACTTATAGATAAAACTTCTGTCAAGCAGTATTTATGTTAAGGTACCTTGCTTATCATTTTAGGTTTTCAACTTTATATACTTAATATTCCCATCTTACTACCAGAAAATTATTTTGGCCAAGATTCATTTTTATAGATTAGGGAAGGAATGCTGTTTTTTTCTACGTATCTTCCTAGTTACTGTTGTTACCCTCTAATATGTATTGACCATTGGTAAAACAATTGTGCTGTTGGGATTGCTTAGTTGCAGTATATATGGATCAAACTTTTCAACTCTTTCATACTGTTTGCCCAACAGGTCTCATTTTGTCTCACCCCTTGGCTGCTGTGTCCCTGGTATGCGCTCTTCCAAGTTGGTGAGAGCACAGTGTGTTCAAACCAGACTTCTAAGAGAGACACCAACCTCTTAAACAAGAAGGCTGCCACATAACACCTCCCCCCCACCCCACCTTAGCAGTTTTAGAGAAGTTTGATTAAATATAAAACAACAAGGTTTCTGGAAGCCTTTTCATTATTCTCTTCCATGCTAATCCTGCTTTGTTGTCTTAAAAGATGAAGGTGAGGAAGAAAGACATCAGTGTCTGATAGTAAAATCTGCAGCAGGCAAGTGAAACTTTTTTGGGGTTATAGTTAAGACTTGGTTTACGTTATTGGCCAGTATCTGTTACACATACGAAGACTTATAAATACTCAGTGTTGCCTAGGCACAAGCCTGCACAACATTTTGAGGTAAAAACATAGTCTGTTTTCAAAATACTGTTGTAGTTTGTGAGTGTCGTTCATTAGTCATACATTAGCTGTAGAGTGACTGCATGAAGCCCCATGACCCCCAGTAAACTCTTTAACAGTAGAAAAACCAAACACCGCTATTTTGTCATTAGCAGGCCTCTTAAATGTTGCCTCTCCATATTACATTTTAGTATACATTGTGTTTCTATTGATCTCTCTTAGGTTTTTCCTGATTCAGAGGAAACCAATTTTTCCTTAATAGCAAGAAAGATGAAGAGGTAAAGGGCATTGAAGCAGAAATGTATAGTTTGGGGTATGATTAGAAAACTAATAAGGAAAACAAAGTCCTAATTAATTTTAAACTAACTGCTCTTGTTAAGTGCTCTTAAGGAGAGTCTAGTAAGAGTAATACTTCCTGGCCACTTCTGGTTTAGATTCTCTTCATTACTGAAACTTGAGAAATAATACCTGTGGGTTAGTTTTGCACAATATTCTATTCTCACAACTTACAAATTAAACTAGGTTTTTATTGAACTACCTCACACTAATTTTCTATGCTTTCCCAAGTAAGCTGTTGCCCTTACTGTTAGATCTTTACTGAGTGTGAATTATAAATGTGTGTTAAATACTTTATAGCCGATGTCAACACAATACCAGTATGTAAAATATATACCTTGCATCAGTAAGAGAGACTCACGTGTAAATTCTTTCACTGTATATCTTGGAAAGTTGTGTTAGATGTGTTCATTGGACTTTATTACTGTTTTTGTAAGTAGAAACCTGCTCGTGATACCAGTCCATTCTTTACATTTTACAAAAGGAATAAATCTTAGTAAATTTTACGAAGAAATAAATTACTTTTGTAGGCCCGATATTTGGTATATTTTTGAGAAGCTCTTAATCTTTTAGCTGAATGATGAAGTAAAACTAAACTAGCTGTCTACCTGGACCGTGACATCTATTTTCTCATTACAGATTATCCTGTTTAATAGGTTTTAAAACCTGAAAAAAGTGATAATGAACATTTGCTTTTTTCCCTATATGATGCCATTCCTTCATTCCTCTACCTTCCCTGTGTTCCATTCCCTTTCCTCTCCCGTAGATAAAGCAAAATGGGGCACTTTGTAGGGAATGCTGAGATAATTATTGTGGTTTTTAATCATTTATGCCCTAGTCATTAAACATGCACCACTGGAATGTAAACAATGTTATCTAGTATGTCAATTGGTTATAATATTTTAAATAAAAAAGAAAAAAGTGGTATGAAAATTATGAAATGAGTTTTTTTATTGAAAACAAATGGGTTAATTTGTGGTAAAAAATTTATCTGACAATTTTAAGACTTCCTATAGATTGAGACAAAAAGGATAGTATTCTGAGATTTGGATTTTATGCAGATTGTATATTAACAAATGATCATCCCAACTTTCTTGCTTATCAAGATTTGCCTTTCTGGTATTTGAAATCACTGGAGAAACTATCTGGTTGCTTCAATGCCCTTAACCTAGTTCTTGACAGCTATATGAGAGCACAGCCATAATGGCCACTTGGCAGATAAGACAAGTACTATTAAAGGATCTATTTCAAAATCTGCAGTTTCAGCTTCGACATACGCTTTTGCCATGCATATGTTCTCTTTGCATTTGGGGTAGGGTGCTGTGTAGGTAGGTACCAGGGTTGCTTGCCACATGCCCACCCAGCCTATGCTGTATGGTTCTTGACCTTGCTCAACTCTTGTTTCAGTATACTCGTATCCACACTGTAGTACCATGTCTGTATTTATACTTCTCTGCCCTGAGGAAAGGACAGGATAGAGCAAGTTTTACCTGACTCACTACACTTCAGCAGCTACAAAGTTGCTGGCTTGGAACATTTTGTTCATCATTAAAGAAGCTCCTGTGAGAGACTGACAAGAGAGTCATCAGAGCAGGGAGTTAATTTTCACCCAAGCATAATACCCTGGTGACATCAAATAAAATGGAGTAGTTCATTCTTGTTAATCTAGAAACTATTATTTTAGTGTTGCTCCTTAAAAGGCCTATTGACTTTATTTAGAAAATTGATTTGTACTTTGTTACTTAAAATTTATTTTTAGCTTTTACAGCTGATATGTCGTATCTTTGGACTGACTTAAATATGCGTTGTGTATGTTAGGCTTCAAATATATTTCAGTTAAATGCATCAGCTAATGAATGCATTAATGAATCTTAGAGCCTATGTTGAAAGCTGGGAATGATACTTAAGGTGTAGTCAGGCTGACTGAAATAAGTATTATGTCAAGGTACAAGGTCCACCCTTGAAGGGACACAGAGTTGATTGAACATGAGTGTTTCACAGTGGATAAATATTTGGAAACTTGATAGAGGAATGGTATTTCTAGAGTTAGGGAAGGGCCCAGAGGCTTAAAAATGTGCATAGACAAGGAATGAGGGGGTGGGTGTGGGTATGTGAAGAGAGGAAGGATATGGTGGACAATAAGACTGAAAAGGTGAAGACCATAACAAGCATTTTGGAGAGGTTATGTTCATTTTAAAGGCAGTAGGAGCCTGTCAGAAAGGGAAATAATGTAACCATACCTTTGTATAGGAAAATAAGGTGTTGTAGAGCCAAAGATGATCATTTAAGAGAACTGAGTCCTTTTTACACAGTGAGATGGAAAAAGAGTGCCTTTTTGTTTGTTTAAATTCAAGGTGGTAACAGAGGACATCCCTTGCTTTACTTCCAAGAGGTACAATTATTGAGAAGTGGGACACCAGTGAGAATTCTACAGCAAATTGGTGAGGCTGAAGCATCTCCTACACCTCAGAGAATAGAGACTGCATTAAGAGAGAAGTTGAAGAAACTGACACCAGTATGATGGAAGGTGGGTAGATAGAGATGAACAGATGTAGCAGTTTGGGTGCACAGACATGGCAATGCTGTGGCCCAACCAGGGACTCGGGGGGTAAAAAAAGCATAGAGTTTGTGGAGGCACACACCATTGGCTCATGTAATGCCCAAAGTAGTCACTAGAATGCTCCAAATAGGCTACGACCCCAGCAAGGAGGACCACAGGAAATTCTGGTAGACTACTATCCCTCTTCACTCCTTAGGATTTACACATGTGCAATAAAGGATATTGGTAGCAGATGGCGAATGTCAGATCTGGGATCCCAGCAAAGAGTGTTAGCAGTAGTGTCTTCCACATAAACCAGGCTCCCTACCACCATAATTTACAACAGCAGGTGGTCCCCTGTATACTTGCTTCACACTGCTGATAGCAGGTTACTGACCTGAGCTCTTAATGGCAGCCAGCAGTAACTAGAAAACTAAAGCCATAGCACCACCTGCTGGAAAACCAAAAATACCTCATCTCTAAATTTGCTAATCTAGATTCCCAATAGGGAAAAACCAGCCCAGGAAAAACCACAGTGAAACTATTATCACTGATACAGAATGACAGCTTTCCAGAAACCAAACTCAAAGACATGTAAGATTACATCCTCCTACTGGATGAATAATATGAAGTAGCAATCACGGAAACTCAGTGACAATGGAACTCAGAAAAGCAAGTCAAAGGTTATGAAATTCAGAAAAGCAACTCAGTAATAAAATTAACAAGCAAAGACTAGAAGCTTGAACTAACAGATTGAAGACGCAAATAATTCAATATACTAGTTGAGTAATAGTTGAGTAATGGAGGAATAAAGGTGAGTTTGAAGATAGAAACCTAGAAATGATCCAAGTTGAAGAGAGAAAAATGAGATATTAAAAATGTATTATGAACTACCTGACTCCTTTAGGAAAGGAGACATTAAGCTAATGGGTATCCTACAGATGAAGAAAGAAGGAAACTGAGAGCTTACACAAAAATAGGTAATACAAACCTGGGAAGAGAACTGAATATATACATGCACAAAGCTAACAGAACATCCACCTATCTACAAAGAGACCTGTACACCAAATCACATCTTAGTGGACAGATCATTTCGACAACAGATGAACAAGGAAACAGTGGCGTTAAATGACAAATTAGACCAGGTGATCTTAAGAGTTTGTACAGAGTTCTCTACCCCCAAACAATAGAATACACATGCCTTTTCAAGTGCTTATGAATCATTCTGAAGAATATACCACATGTGGGGACATAAAACAAGATCATAATTGTGTGAACTAATATCCAGGACATACAAAGAGTTCATAAAACTCAACAGCAAAAAAAAACTTAAAGCAGATAGAGTATAAGAAGACATACAGATGACCAAAGTAATCATCTGTTACTAGGAAAATATAAATAAAAAAGATCTCTTCACATTTGTGAGAATGACCATTATCAGAGAAACAATTGTTGGAGAAGATTGAAGAGAATGTAACACTTTTGGTAGTAATCTAAATTTCTGTAGTTATAAAGAAAATATGCAGATTCTTTGAATGTAGAATTTCCTTAAAATCCAAATATCTGACTTCTGAGTATGTAGCCAAAGAATAAAAACTCGTTAATTCAAAGGGATATATGTAACCCCTTCAGGATCATTGCAGTATTATTTACAAAGCCAAAGTCAAAAGTTGGAAACAAGTACATGTTGACAGCTGATTGACTAATGAAACTGGGATATAACATACACTGTTAAGTGTACACTATGGACCACTACTCAAGGGAAAACCATGAAAAACTGCCATTTGTAACACCACATTTGCTTAGTGAAATGAGTCAGGAGGACAAAGACAAACACTGATTTCACTTATGTGATATATAAAGAAGCTGAACAAGGAATTAAGTAAAACACAACTTTTTGTCAAATAGAGCAAAATACTGGTTACCAAGGAGGGAAAGTGGTCAATTGTATGGTGAAGGGTAGAATTAGACATTCAGTGATGAACTTAATGTGTGTGTCTGTGTATCTGCAGGTTATTATGAAACTTAATCTGAAACTTATGTAGTGTTATAGTACAATTTAATTTTAAAAGTAGATGAAGTCATCAAGATTAGCATTTGAGGTTGAGGGGAGATTTTGAATCTTCATTAAAATTTGACAGCACACAATAGTTTGTCCTGGGAAAATACATTCAGTGTGTTTACATTCAACACATTACCTAGTTCATGCCTCTCAGATCCTACATGACAGATCCCATATCAAGTACGACATCAATTTGCTACATAATGGTTCAGGAATGGGAGTAAAGGAACAATTGCTTCCTAACTATCTATTGACCTTCCCAGTCTCTACCTTGTGAGGTTGAAAAATTGGCAGGGAAATACAAAGAATCATGACAATGTCTTGAGAAAAAAGTAAACTGAGAGGTCAGAACCGGTTAAAAGGGAGAAATTGAAAGTACTTGTGGCTGGATAAAAGAAGATCCTAAAGAGGTTGGAGTCTACTGAATTCTATGGATTCAGCCTGAGCTCCAAAATGAAAGTTGGATAATTTTGAACAAGCCTCATCTTTGGTGAGCCTAGTGTTTCATCTGTCACATGAAGGTGAGAGATTCTCTCTTTTGGTCTGATTGACCTTGTGTGTTTTTATAAAAATAATCAAAAGGAAATGTAATTTGTGATGTTAACCTTGGAAGGGAATACAGAGGGCTTAAGCTCCAGAGAAATGTTGTAGGGAAGTGGAATTCTGTGTGTTTTCACATCTGAGAACTGATCCCAAGACGACATTGCCATCACCACTAATCCTAGTCTTCATGCAGCTGGTAAGAATAACTCCACATTTGAGAAAAATGCCTCAAAATCACTGAACTTGTTCCACGGATGACATAAGATGGTAATGATTTGTATATGCTTCTTAAAGTGACATCCTGTGCATCTATCTTTTGCTGATACTTCACTCTAGAATCTCTTGGAAGAACATCTTTCTCTTAGTTAACAGTGCCTGGCAGTTAGACATTCAGTAAATATTGGGTAGGATAGCGAATAACTCTTCTGATTCCATTATCTGAAATACAATATTCACTGTCCTCAGAACGTGAAGATCTGCATATACTAATATAAAATTATAGTAGTAGTGTAAGCATGGACTGTGATACCAAATACCTAAAGTAGGATTCTGACAACACAGTAGTTGCATTACCTATATAGCATGTTGCCTAAACTCTTGGTGGCTCTTTTTTTCTCAAAAGAGGTTAGATACCAAATTAGAACCATGAGCGAGGATGCTTTTCTTATCAGCTTCCTAAAGTGATTCTGATATGACCCTTCCACTTGCTGTCCTCTGAGGGCAGTGTCTAAATGGGGTGTGGGGGGAGCAAAGAATGAATATATAACAAAGAATGAAGTAGGCCAAGCTTAAGGTTGTACTGAGAGAGGGAGAAGAGATGAAGAAATGGAAACGGGGCAGAAGTTGCAGCCAACATGGTAATCATTGGCCCACTCTAAAACCCTGCAAAAATGCAATATATTTCTCTTAGCAGTCTCCCCAAGTTGTACAAACCACTGAATTTTGTGTTGAAAACTTACTCTGTGCCAATCACTAAGTGCTTTATATGCACTTATAGAGTTTTGACAACTTTATGATACTCTGAGTTTTTATAATAGTTTTACAATTTTAGCACTCACAGTAATTGTATAACTATAGACTTTATGTCCCCCTGTTAGGTGATCAAACTGAGGCACAGAGATACTGAGCAACTTGCTTAGGGCTCCAAAACCAAACACAGTGGAGCCAGGAGCTCGTCTAGTTTGGCTCCAGCTCATTGTGTACCATTGTGCTCTACTGACAGGTTTTTGTAAATAAAGACTTTAGTGTTCAAGTAAGTTTGGGGGTTGCCACTTAAAGGCTCATCGTTTTTCCTAATTTCTGTAAAACTTCATCATGCATTTATATAAATGTATATGCAAACATACCTTTGTCTTTGCACTCCTTTCAGAAGCCAACTCTCGTACTGTTTTTTTATAGACTTCCCTTCGTGTCTCTTTTTCTTTGTTGCATCATTCTTAGCAGCGCACAAGCGTACTCTAGTAGCTTCATTTTTAAAGCTCTTTCTTGCCCCCTCCTACTTGACCACCCCATTTCTCTGCTCCCGTTTACATCATTTCTGGACCGGCCTGGATTTGCTGTCTTGTCTTCTCCTCGTAGTTGTTAGCTTCTTAGTTTCTTCCTTTCTGTCTCCAGCATATTTCTCTTTAGCTTCTGGCCTCTTCCCTACATTTGACTGAGACCACAGTGATAGTTCCCCTGACCCATTTTGTTCTTTCCTGCCCTGAAATTTGACATCCATGCTCCACTAGTGGTAAAGGGAACCTATGGAAAGGCAAGTCAGTTCATACTCACTGCTTCAAAGGCCTACAATGCTTTTGCATCTCCCTTAGAAAAATAACTCCCTACTATTAGGACCCTAAATGTCTGGTCCCTGCCCAGCTCCCATCCATCTCCCATCATGCTGATAAGAGCACTGACACTCGGACTTAATTTTAGAACTCTTCCCCTTTGGCTTGCAACTGTCTGATCACATAGTTGGCACATCCTGTCCTAAAGTCTCAATTCAAACATCACCCATAGAAATGACGTCCTCACCAACATGTCTAAAATACAAACCCCAGGATCACCTTGTTCAGAACACAAAATCTGAATGCATCTTGTTTATGATTGCTTCCATCGGTAACAAGAGTAAAATTTGAAGATTTTATTCAATGATTCATGGATTGGACAGCATTGGATTTAGCAGATAAGAAGGAAACTTGATGGTGCATACAAACTGGAAGACTTTTATAGGCAGATGGGAGTGGGAAGAAGGGAGTTACACTAGACAAGTAAGTGGGTTGGTCATTGCAAAATTACTTTTCTTTAGAGGATAGCAGTAGTCTCTCAGCCAGATTGCCTTAGCAGATTCCTGATTGGCCGCTTTGATTCCATTGCTGGGAGAGCCAAAACTATTAAGTCTCAGTGTGATGATACAGCATAAGTGACTCCATCTTGGGGCCTGCTTTATTTATTTTTTTTTTTGGGGGGGGGCCTGCTTTATTTTTAACACTTCTTTATGTTCTGTCTTATAACACTAGATTGTAAGTTCTATAAAAGCTATGACCTGAGGTCTTGTTCCCTCTATCCGCATGTTGAGAGTCTGCGGATCTCCATAGTGGCTATAATATGCAGTGGGGAACCTGTTCTAAAGCAAATGACTAACAGCATATCCTACTCTCCATGACTGGATCCTTGCTTCCCCCGCCCTCTTTTTTTCCTTTTCCCCCTTCCTTTCCTCTCTGTTTTCAAGTCCTTCAGTGTGAAATGGAGAGAATAATGTTACCTTTACCTTAAGGACTGAATGAAACATGTATGCAGTGTGCTTAGAATAGCTGGCACAACAATCATACTGAAGTTACCCTCCTCCTGGTTTGATTTTCCCCAAGGTCATGGCAGAATTAGCCCAATTCTGCTCCATGCCAGAATGCTTTCCATGGCTCTATCTCCCTGCTATCTCACAGATATGCGCCACACAGTTTTGGCATCTCATGGTTCGGTGTTTGAAGGAGACAGAAGTGGTGTACCTGGTAAAAGGGCAGTGATATCAGGCAAAGGTGTTGGTTCTTGGTGCATACAATATAGAGAGACAGCAGCATCAATGGGGGTGACTCTCATACCTACTTAGCTCTGAACTTATGTATATCATCTACTACCCTTTGTGACAGAACTACTTCAGACAGTGGGAGAGCTCTCCCGTGAGCTGGGGCCCTACATTGAAAAGGAAGTCCATGAAATATGTTGATGTTACTGTTTCTGACTTCATTTATTACCCACAGGCCAAGGACTGTGGATATACGGACTCCATTCTGAACCCCTATTCAGAATGAAAGCATCCTGAAGTGAATGATATTCTTGCCTGCGCCATTGCTCGACTCTAAGGTAAAATAGGGAATATCTTTCTGTCTCTCTCATAAACACACACGTACACACATACTTAAAATTGTATTTATCTTTACAAAGTGCATTGTTGTAATATGTTGATGTCTTGTGTTTTTTTTTATGAGATTTATAATTTCCAACTTTTTCTTTAAAGTTAAATACAATTTTAATCTGAGAGAAGAATCCTAATTTTTTTTTTGCCAATTTTCTACTCTTAAATTTGCTTTATCTGTATTTAATGTGACACTATTTTAAAACAATGTCTTACTAAATCAATCTAAATCATGGGTAGGTTTTCAAAAAACTAGTCACATTTTCTCATGTTTATTTCATTTGCTTACTTAGTATAATGTCATTACAATAATAAGTTCTGCTTGAATCCACAGGTTTGGGAATAGTTTTTGTAAATGCACACTCAACTGGAGAGAAACAGAGTGGGAGGGGACCAAAGAGGATGATGGGGACAGGGAACCTCTTAGTCTCATTTCTCACTGTGCTTTAAAGGCTGATTCCAATATGTTTTTTAGAAAAATGGACAATACTTGTTAAAGGAAACTAGGATAGAATTTCTCCTGAATATTGCCAATTAATTTTTAAATAAAACTTACACTTGCACATTTGAGTTCTGCCAGCAGGTGGCAGAAGTGGCTCATGAGCTGATTTTGACCAAGGACTTGAACAGAAGCTGAACCTTTGCCAACATTAGTGAATAAAAAGTCAGACAACTTCTTTTTCATCATGTGAATTCCTTTGGTCTTTTCTGCTCCTTTGATAGCCTGGTGGTACCTTTGTAGGTCAAAGTCAGTGGAATTCTAAAATGTGGCACAGGATCTTGAGCTGGTAGGACTGCCCTGGTGTTCCTGCCTTTCTTCAAGTCTGTTTCCCTTCTGAATGGGAAACGTGGAGCCTATTCTTGTCACTGGGTTGTTTTGAGGAACCAGTCACTTCATATTATTTTCTCTTTCTCCATAACTTAGAATGAATGCAAAATTTTACCTCCAGGTAAAGCCTATCACCTAGGTTGCCAGTTGTGATGATAGGGAATCTGAGAACTAATGCATGTGTTATTTCCCTAATAGAGCTCTGAGTGTTAATGCTGCTGGGGCCCTCAGGCATCTGGCCTCCTGGCTGATGAGGTCCTTGGTGGCTGGCAGGTGGCCAATGGTCAGCATGCCTTTCACCACAGTGAGGTTTCCCCAGCCTGTGGCTTTGCACCTCATGGTGTGGATCCAGCCCTTCCTAGAAGCACATCAGCACAGTAGTTTATACTTCATTCTATGGATTGTAGGTTTGAATGACTTTCAGACACAGTGGTCAGAAATTAGGGTACTTTACTATTTGGGGCAGCTAGAGGTAATCTGTAAGAATGCTGTGAGCAGCAGCTAGTGAAGGGACACTACCCCTAGCATTTTCTGTGCCCCCAAGGTCAGTCCTAGATAGCCTCAGAGGCTATCTCTTTATTGCCCTCTAAGGCACCAAAGGGATCTTGTCCTAATGGGGCCTTGAAGCCTAAGGATGAACTGAAGGAGGAAGGCAAATGCATATGGGAGGAGGAGAAATGCTAGCTCAACGGAAGACTGGACGGAAGATCGGGCAGAGCCTAAGGCATAGGTACCCAGACGGCAGGCACTTCCCGTATCTTCGTGCCACTCTCCTTCAGACACGTGCCTTATCTCCCTGTGCAGAGCAAGGGTTTGGAAGCATAAAGTACAACACCCAGACTCAACTCGGACGCCCCGGCTCTGCGCAGAGCTGGACCAAGTACAAGAAAGCAGATTATGGTAGCAGGCTGCAGAGACCCATCCAGCCCAGTGGCTAGAGGGAAAATTGTCTTGCCTTGAGCACAGGAATAATGAATCACGGATTTGCTTAAGTCTAGTTTCAGTGACTCTGACAATGCTGGGTCCAGTCAGGGTGTTTGATACTCTGCTTCTGAAGGGCCTGAACCATTCCGTTCATGGGGTTAACTTGGGGATTTTCAAGTCTGCAAGAAATTGTAGAGGTCACTTGGTAACCCCCATTTCACATGACCATAAAAGAGTCAGTCATCAGGCATCATGGTTCCAGAGAAAATTTAATAAAGAATGCAAAATGTCCTGGTGGGCTGTGGGGTCATGTTTAGGTTGGTACTGGACTATGTCCTTTGACACCAGACCAGACATGGTTGGAAAAGCACGGGGTGCCATGTGGGGCAAGGGCTCCTGGAAGTTTCCTGAGGTGTCAGGACATCTCTCCAGCTGGGCCTGGAGAGCCTGGCACCACTGAGGCTGCAGTGGCTTCTGGCATCTCTGCTGAAGGGAGGGCGAGCGACTCCATAGAAGCATGCTCTTCCCAGCCCTTTACTTTGCAACCCTGGCACCTTTTGTTCCAACAGTCAGGTTCCCCAGAGTTGAAAAAAACTCCTCCATTTCCTTCTGTAGCAGCTGGTTTCTTTTCTCTGCGTCTTCCCGTGCCCGCTCTGAGTTCCTCAGCTTTATTTCCAACATTGTGTACTTTTTCTTCTCCTGGTCCAGTTCTTCTTCTAACTGTGACATTTGTTTCCTCAGATCAGCACTACTTTCTTCGAGTCTTAAAACCAAGAAGAAAGACACTGTTTTAATATTTTCACTTGCTAGGTTTGGCATGCCTGTGTGTACCCATGGTGGGGGTGGAGCTGGTCAGGAGCCTGCACAGGGGGAAGACACGCAGCACCTTGTTCAGGACCAGGCCTCACAAACTTTAACTACTCCTCACAAGATTTTGATATTTCACCCATGAGCCAAGAGGATCTCACCCTCGAAAACATCTACCTCAGCCTGTGGTCCAGAGATGCCTCTGTTAAGATTTATACCTTAAGTACTCAAGATTTGGGGCCTCACTAAAATATTCTCCTCCAGAGCAGCCAGATAGCCAATTGTCCCAATGAAGGATGGACTCCAGGCCGGCAGAGAGCAGGACAGGTCCCTATATGGGGAGGAAACAGGAAACTGTCTCCACACCTTTGCTCTTCTATGAGGGACCTGCCACTCAGACCTTTCTCCTGCTTCCCCACCCCCAGAGCCCTCTGAGTTCCATGGAGATACTGCAACTACAGGAATCCCCATTCAGGTTGTCACTTCCGTTTTTATTCATCTTCCATGCCCCAGCTCAAAGGTCTTAGCCTCAGTGAAGCTTCTCTTGATCCTCCCCATTGTTCCTTTATGTCACCACAGAGCTACACCACAAGCTTTGTAGAGGTTGACACGCATGGTGCAAAGGCTGGCACACTGTCTTTTCTAGCAGATGACCTGCTCCTGTAAGATCTTAGGGATGCACTAAACCTTTGATTGCAGACAGGACAAACTGCACTGAGCCCTGGTGTCCTCCTGAAAAGTGCAGGGGACAACCTTCCCTCAAGTACTCGGCTATGTGGACAAGAAGACTAGCACAGTGTGACACTGGAGCAGACATCAGTTTCCCACACCATTCAAGGTGAGGCCCAGGCCTCCATCTTTGATGTTAAGCACAACATGGAGAAAGGAGCAAAACTCCCTGTACCCCTCTCCTCCACCTATGAAGCATGGACACCCCCCCCCAGGTGAGTGGCAGCCAGGTTCCCCTAGACTCCTCTCTCGTTCTCCTCTGCTCAGAGCCCTTCTTTACTGATTCCTCCTCCTCATGTTCTCCAGGAGCATCCCCAGATGCTCAGCCTGGGCCTCTCTTCTATGCCACCTATGGTCTCATCCAGTCTCCAAACTTGAAGCACCATCTACACACTGATTACCCCTCAATCTCTGTCTCTTTCAGCACCACTCAGAAACTTCATAAACAGCTCCATCTTAGCAGGTCCACAGTTGAGCTTCTGACCTTTCTTCCCAGGCACCCCTGTAGTCTGGTCTTCCCCCTCAGCCCAGGAAATGAGAAGCTAGTTTGCCATTCTTTGACCTCGTCTCCAGCCAGCTCTGAAAGTGCAGGGGACAGTGCACTGCTTACCGTATATTCAATGATTTTGTCTGTGAACTCACCTTTGCAGTAATGATTTCACTCTGCAGCTCTACTAAAGTCTAACCCCTGTGCTTATGTTCATAGATCCCCCGATTTTGTATCTTGGGTTTCACGCATGCTTGTCCTTTCTCCTCCTTGCTCACCTTAAACCTACTAGTTTTTCAAGTCCTGACAGAGGTAGTGCCTGCTGTGACCTTCCCTAACCTCCCCCATAGCAGGGGCCTCCACCATCAAAGCCCTTTCCCAGTCTTCTGCCCGAGGACACAGTTCCTGCCCATGCCTGACACTCACCGGGTACTTAGGAGGCACTGCCAGCAAAGCTGAAAGATCAAACACTGCCAGGTGCCTGTGAAATCCCAGGCTGAGGATTACAGGAATCCCTCCCATTTCCACTGTCTCTGATGGAAAAGGAAGCCCTCAGAAATTGCTGTTGCCTTCTGTTCATGCCAATGGTAAGGACCTGGGCTCATGGGTCAGGTAGGGCCTGCGAGGAGGCAAAGGGTCTGAGATGCTGGGGAAGTACTGTGTGTGGTACAGGGTAGGCTCTGCTGAGGAACTCTGGGCATACTTGCTGAAACACTCTAAGAGAGCCAAACGAGCCCATTTGTGAACCAGCTTACAGCCTTGAGAATGTGGTGAAGATGCCCTACAACTAGAGTGTGAGGGAGGAAGGTCTTGGCTCAGCACAGCCATGTCCACCCTGAGAGGAAGTCCAATTCTGACCCTGGAGTTCTCCCCATCAAGCTGAGCAGACCCAGAACTTGCTCTGCACATGGGTATTTCCCCACACTTGCTGCCTGGCTACACACCTCTGCACCATGCCCATGGTGGGCCTGCCTCTCCCTGCTGTCTCACATTTATGAAAGCTTGATACGCCTGTTTTCAAACTAGGACCTCTACATCCCTCTACGGGCAACCCTTCACAGGGGGCATTCTCCCAGAAAGGAAGCTGGGGACTCCTGCTATGGTGCTATCTCCAGGAGGCCTGCCAGGACCATGAGGCCAGTGGCTGAACACCTGGGGCTGGCAGGTAAGCTGCTGGCATGAGTACTCTGCCTGGACAGAGAGACTGCCGCCCGGGCACCCAGCAGGTTCCAACGCTTTACCTTTTCACACTTGTCTGGTATTCAGTCCTCTGCCGACACAGCTCTGCCCTGAGCTCCGTGACCAGGGTATGAAGAGTCTCGGATTGGCGAGCATGGTCCTGACTAGGGCTTCCTGGGTCACTGGGCTCACTGCTGCTGATGCAGGTGCCCACCTCCTCCAGGCTGTGGCCCAAGTCTGGGGATCTGCGGTCGTCACTGCTGCTGGGGAAGGGGGAGGGCTCAAGGTGTCCCTCGGTGTGCAGGGAGCTGCAGGCTGATGAGTCACTGGCCCGGCAGGCAGTGCAGCTGCTGACTGAGCCCCCCACCGAGGGCTCACAGGAAGAGGCGCCAGACCACCCAATGCTGGCCACACTGGGAGTGCTGGGGAAGAGACTGCAGGAGGGCACGTTGTCATAGGTGGAAAGTCTTTGCACAGAGCCCGAGTCCTTGAGCCGGTCTCCAGAGGAGGCGCGACGGTGGCCACGCAGGGAAGACAGCCCGTTCATGAGCCAGTTCCCGCCAGAGGAGATGATGGGTACCTCTAGGGATGAGCTGCCCACCTTGGGGCTCCCAGACCGGGACCCTGACTGCCGGAAGGAAGACTTCCAGTTGGGCAGAGTCTGCACCTTCTTCCCAGGGCTAGCAGTGGCAGGGCTGCTTCGGCCACCCAGGCCCGAGGGAGAGGTCCTTGAGAGCGCCGCCACCGTGGCCCCGTCCAGGGATGAGGTCCTATGTGAGGGCAAACCTGGGGCGCTGGGGCTGCCAGGCTCCGCCTGGCTATCCCTCGTGACCTCCTCGGAGCCCCAACCCACGGTGCACGATGGGGCTCCTCGTGGGGAGGCTGGCCCTTCGGTGGGCCTTGCAGTGAACAGCTGGCTGTGCTTGCGTATCAGGATGGTCATCAGGTGCTGCACCAGGGAAGTGCCTGCCAGAGGAAGGGAATGAGAAAGGCTGGCTTGACAGTCTCCCAGCCCAGGCTTTCCAGCCCACTTTGCGGAGGTGGGGGTACTGAGCTTGCATGAACTCGGAGAGAACCTGAGGGTTAAAGCTTGCCCTCACAGGCCCAAAGGATAGGATGGTGATCACATCCTTCAAGTCCAGGCCCAAGAATGCCCTTCCTCTGACAGAAGTGGGCACTGTGCCTCCACGCCCACTTCAGCCAGCCAGCAGGAGGGAGAAAGCAGGTGCAGTGACTACTGAGTCTTGGCTGGCCGCCACACTCCTGAGCCGGGACTGGCCCTGGGCATCCTGTCTGCGAGCAGCATGACTGTCACACTACAGCCTCCAGGACAGACACCCTGAGAGCCCCCAGGGTGGGTGTCGTCTCCATGCCAGCCTGCCCCTGTGCCCTGGGCACATCTGCTTGTGGACAGCTGGCTTCAGTTTCTTCATCTATGAAATGGGGGCAATAACTGTAACAAAGGCCACCTGTTTACATTAAATTGAAGTGATTGAAGTAGAACCCTGACTTATTGAAAGTAGCTGCTATTTTTATCACTTATTGGTTATAGAACAATTTCCCCAGGGTTTGCAAAAACATCCAGGCGCCTGTGGCAATTAAGTAAAGCCAAAACATCTGTGTGTATTTAAGGGCAGCGAAACTGACCTTTCCTATCTCTTTCCTCAGTCTCTCCTGCCATTTTCATTTCACTCAAAGACCTACTGGTGCCACTGTCAGGGCAAAGTTCTCTTTGAAGTTATAGCAGGATACCCTGGGGGATGGAGACCCCTCTGGCATGGAAGGACACATGAGGTTAGCGAGGAGGTCCAGAGAGGCTGGAGCTGCTGGAGCCACCCCATCCACCGGCGGGGCAGTGACGCATAATGCCTCAGGACCTGCTGGGGTCAAAGTGATCCCAAACCTCAGCAACACCCAGTACCTTCCATGATGGTCACTGGGTCTTCTATCTGTGGTCGAAGTATGTTAGGGCCAAAGACAGTTGCCAGGTTCTGGACGCTCATCTTGTTGACATTTGAGTGGGACTGAACTTCATCCAGAAATCTGTAAAGTCAGGAAGAGACAGTAGGCTGAGAAGTAAATCCTGATGCCAGGCCTCTACCCCTGCCCCACCCACACATTTCTGCAGTTGACAGGTACTGCTGTTTGCCCCTGCTAGACTGGGAAGGAGACTGACCCACCCCTGGGATCCAGGAATGTCATCAGAAGCCGAAGCTGTGGGACAAGTTTCCACCATCAGTATGACGAAGACGGATGACTCCCCTTGCAGTGAGGCAGGTGCCTAGGAGTCTCCCAGGCATAAGAACAGGTAAGAGGAACCCTGCATGCCCTAGTCAGGGCCACGAGGACAGTAAGGGGCACCCAGAGAAGGTAGACAAGACAAGATGGTATGGCTCTTTGTTTCAGGAATGGTCCACTCAAGACTGCCTGCTGCCATAGGGTGGTAATCTCCTTGAGCACAGGGGCTGCATTTCGGGTACCTCCTGTTGGCGTGATCATCATGGGGAAGAGTTGGGGCTGAAAAGGACCCATGCTCCCCCTGGGCACAGAGCCAGGGCACAGGGGAGGAAGTGCTCCCAACCCAACCACTTACTTGCAGATATATCTGAGTAAATTGTAATTGGCCGGGGGAAGGCTGCTCACTTGTTTCATCAACTCCAGAGTTCCCTTAGGATTGAGAGAGGAAAACAGCATTTCAAACACCAGCAACAAGGGCCCAGGCCCAGTATGCTTCTGGAGCAGTGGAAGGGTAGGTGGAGGGAGGAGGTGGGCAGGGTATGGGGAGTGGAACCAGAGGCCACAACTCCAGCTGAGGCCATAGGGCTCAACCCCTGTGACCAGGAGGTGTCACCCCTCCATTCCCTCTGAGGAAAGGCCAGGGCCAGGCTGGTGACCTAAGAAAATGGATCACTTAGGGAGCTGCTGTTGAAGGGTGTGTGCTGCAGGGCCACAGAGGAATGTCAGGGCCAGCACTCAGCTCACTTATCAAGGTACAAATATTTGCAAGATAAAGACCCTCATCTCCCACATGGCCACAGGGAGGGCAAACAGTTCTTTCCCAGCAGAAGCTGGCTGGTGCTCTAGGCAGACACCTGTGTATATGTGTGTGAGGTGGTGGGGTGTTGGGGGGGGAGCGTTCTATACTGGGAGGACTCAAATTCTTTTCAGAGGAGGCAGGATATAGATAAGCGAAAGGCCTGGTTGTTTTTGAAGCTCACGGCTGGCCTGGGTAGCAGGGTTGTGTAGAGGAGCAGGCAGTGGGTGGCAGCCTGAGCCAGGCATCCCACACTCGGTGTGATGGGAGTACTCCTGCTTAGGTGGTGCTCGCCCCTTCCAGAGGAAACCCTAGAAAATGGATCACTTAGGGAGCTGCTGTTGAAGGGTGTGCGCTACAGGGCCCTACACAGAGAGGGGATGTTCCACTGCCCCCAGTGTTCCCCACACCCAGCAGGGTGTTCCAGTCTAACCCCCTCCCTGCAGAGAGGGATGCTGCAGTCACTGTCCCTACACAAAAGATCAGGATGCTCCAGGGCCTTCCCCCACATACAACAAGATGCTCTAACCAGCCCCAAAGAGTTTGTACTGATGAACATGTCCCCCCCTGCCCAATCTGGTGCCTCGCAGGCCCACCCCAGGGTGAATCCCCAGGAGCTACTAACCTCCCCCTCGTCTTTGGTGAGCAGCTGGGCGCAGCTGAGGAAGTCCTCGTACCTGGCGAAGGGGACCACAGGCTCGGGGAGCTCCCGTAGGTAGAGTTTCAGCAGGGAGGCCACTGTGTGCACGTCTGTTGTGCTGCAGGTGAGGGAACATTCATGAGTCCTGGGCACCAAGAGTGGCCCACCCTGCTGGGGCAATCTCTGCTTTCAGCTTCTGGTGAGGTGTTCCGCAGGGACCTGCCTCTGCACCACTGGTCAAGGCCAGCTGCTTCCAGGAGCGGTGGCTAGGCATCAGAGTGGGATGAGGACTGGAGCTTAGGGACAGCCCACATGCTCAGAATGTTCATGTGTATGTCAGTCGAAGGAGACAGCAGCACTCCCTCAGAGGGACTTGGGGGGCTGAAGTTCATGCCCACCAAGGGGCTGCTGCTCCCCACCCAGAGGCTGCTCTGCGTGGGAGGAATCATGCACAACCCAGGCTGGCTCACACGGTGAAGGGGTCTTGTGACAGCTGGCCAAAAAATGATTGGGGATGAAGTGTCCTTGCTGGTGATGGGGGAGGGTCTTCTGCAGGTGATGTGGGAGCTGCCTGCTATCCTTTGCCAGAGTCTGGGTTTGCCAGGCTTGCTGACCCCAATCCCAAGGGGGTCCCAAACCTGCTCTGCAGGCTGCTGGGCTACTTCAAAGACAGCATGTTCCCAAGCAGAGGACAGCAGGGGCCAGGCAGGTCCTTTCTCCCTGGCTTCTGGGTTCCTACGCATGCTGGGAACACCCAGGCTTCTGTGCTCATCACTTCCAGTGCCTAGCTGCCTCTGTCCATTGCTAGGTATTGGTCTCTAGCTGCCAGCTAAAAGCTGCCCAGGCTGAAATGGGGCTCTATAGTGGGTGAAAACCCTGAACATGTTGGGCTCTGGGTTCAGGTCCTAGAATAATCATGACATTTCCAAACTTGCTTTCCAGGCTGGAACTGGCCCCCATGTTTTATCAGCTTTTCTAGGCCCTGGATTTAAACTCTGGACCTCATGAGAAGTGGTCAGGGAAAGCAGGCCTGTAGAATGAGGCTGTGCCATTAGGCTGCCATCTGGTCCTGGTTATTCCAAGGCTGGTCTCACTGAGAAAATTCCTGGAGTTCCTAATGGCTCTGGCACTTGGAATTCTGGGGTTCCACATAGTCACAGGCATCTCAAACTCATATGCACATGCTCACTTCTGCCTTCTTCCAGGCCAGCCCCTCTGCTCACCCCTTCTTGTTCCTGATTGCCTATAGCTCCAGTGGATTCCTAGGCTTTAGCCCAAGAGACTAGAGCCCCGGGAGGATGGAGGAGGGACAGGAAGAAGAGAAGATCAGCATGCTTGGCCTTCTGAAAGACAAGGGCAATGATAGCAAAGTAGTGGGATCAGCGTCTTGTTATGGGGTCTCCCCTTGGTGGGGGTGGTGGAAGCATTTCCATCCTGATGAATTGGACAGGGAGCCCCCTCTACGCTGCAGACCTCATTGGCTACACAGTGCCAGAAGCTCCTGGCTGCCCACGGGTTACTGCACTGCTAGGCCTTGTAGGTCCCTGCCTGTGAGGCATCCCCTCCCCCCAACCTGTGAGGTGGTCCCAGTTCACCTGGCTCACAGGTTTCTGCTGCTCAGCCATGCCCAGCTCCATGGCCCACCAACTGACTTCAGAATTCTACCCCTCCCTGGAATGCACTTCGTCACCATCTTCTACCCTCCTCACCTACATACCCCTGTAACAGCTGACTCAAAGCTTTCGCTCCTCCCTTTCACACATTCCTGCATGCATCCAGGCTCCCCCACCCTAACCCCCAAGGAGCACGTTCCATCCTTTAGCCACAGCACTATGGGTGCACAGCAGCCTGTGGGTGGTGGAGGGGGGCTGGGCAGTCAGACATGGGGCCTGCGCTGGGGTCCACTCAGCTTCATATAAGCGAGAGCCTTAATTTTCCATCTGATAACAACTATATTGCTTGACATTCCTTCATTGCCAAGGATCCCTCTTGCCCAAGTCAACACCAACCTCAGAACTGGCCATGGCCTCCTGCCTGTGCCTCCTACAATTCTCAACACAGATGTCTGGCCCATATTTCCTGCTCCAGATCCTTTGATTGCTTCTCATCACCAGACTCCACTTTCCAGGAGTGGGGATGAACTGGTCACCAGGCTGCCTGCCTCCTTGGCCCTCCCTGGGAACCAACAGCATTTCTGCTCTGCTTGTGCTTATCCATGCAGGGGGGGGGGGTTGGTGGTCTCAGTGTGTTTACTTTTTTGTCACCTGTCCTAGCTATGAAGGGGCGAGACCTGGTCTGTTCTGTTCTTGGTCCCACTCTCTCACCAAATGGGTGGTGGTTGGGTAAAGTGTTGACTCAACAGAGCTGCCCAAGTCTGGCACAGAGAAGACCCTCATCAATGCTCAGCAACTACACAATCGGGCTGCTAGAGGCCCAGGGGCCAGCGTGGTGGAAAGGGATCAATATGGGACAGCTGTGTTGGTGACTGAGATGTCCAGATCTGGTAGGCTTTTCATGAAAAAGGGGACCCAGGACCTGGGGCCAGAGTTCCTCAAGATACAGTGTGTGGTCTGTGCCCTGGAGGGGAGGGAGTCCAACCCTGAATGCCTTTGTCAGCACGTGGCTGAGGGGATTGGCCCTGAGACCCCTCTTTCAGGGAGTAAAGGAGAAGAGGACCTCAAGTTTTAGGGGAGTAAGCACAGTTGTAGAACCAGGTGTCACTGGAAAAGTAGAATGATGTCAGAGACCCCAGGGAGGCATTTCCCGAAGGAAAAGTTAGGGCAGCCAGTCAGTGTGGGGTGCGTTGCTGAGAAGGATCCTGGAAAGGCAGCTGGAGGGGTCAGATTCCCAGGGGCTGAGGACAGGAATCTAGGATTTGGGATGGAGAGGAGGGATAGAGGCACCCTATATGAGAGGCTATCAGATGCCAGGAGGGAAAAAAGGGCGGCCCCAGGGCAAGCTAGCAGGATGTAGGCAGAGGGGGAGAGATTCTGGGCAAGAGGTCAAGATTTCAGCTAGACCCTCCAGGGGCTGGAGCAGAGGCCTGTGAGGGATCCAGGACATGTGGAGGGGACTCATTCCCCCCCAAAACCTGAGAGCGTGTGGGGCTGAGTTACTGTTCCATGTTGCCACTGACGGGGTGAGTCAGAGAGATGAAACAATGCCAGGAGATAGACCCTGTCTGGGGTCCTGAATGCAGCCTGTGGAGGGGACCCTTCTTTTCTCCTACCTGGGTTGGATTTATGAGGATGTGAGCAGGGCCTCTTTTGTGGCAGCATCCATTCCTGACAGGAGACCTGGTGCTGCTGCGGTGATTTTGTGCCCATTGGGTGGGCCAGCTGAGCATACATGTGCCAACATAGGGGGACCATCCCACCCACCATTCTGCTATGAGGCTTCTGCCCACTGGAGCTGATACCCTGAGAGGGTGCCGGAGGGGTAGGCAAGTGGCCCCATCTGTATCCCCTAGGAGCTCACCTGTCAAATAGTGGCTTCTCCCCACAGTCGAAGGAATCCTGCAGGTCCCTCACCAGGTTGGCCTGGCCCGGCATGCGGAAGAGCCCCTCCTCAGTGAGTCCACGCTCCCGAATGAAGTCCACACATTGTTCCACCAGCAGGGGGGCCAGGCGGGGGCCATACTTGCGCTCATGGTGGACTGTGTCCTCCAGGCGCTGTCCAAAGATCCCTGGGCACAGAGAAGAGCTATTACCTTACCCATTCAGCTCAGTGGTGGGGATGGGCATCACAGATGAAGGACAGGGGGTGCTATCAAGGGCCAAAGATGGCCCCTCCTGATGGAGTAAATTATAAACAAGGAAGGCACACACCAGGCAGAGAGCAGGAAGGCACAAGAGGCAGGTGGCCTGTCCTGTCTGGTGAAACTTGTCTGAGCCTGAGGAAACTTTCAGGTAGCCGGTGGGAGCATGCATTGTGCATTTTATCTATTATTTATGCTACACACTAATTTCTAAACCCAGTGGGTTACTTTTTAAAAACCAAGGGCTATGTCCACCAAAGGATAGGCCCTAGGATATTATTAGTAGAACTCTTTGCAGTCCCTCCAAACAGGAAGCCACCACATGCCCACCCACCAACAGATGTGGAGCGGGGGGTCTCTTCACATGGGCACACAGGACAGCAATGAGAATCAGAGAGGCACAGCACAGGCAAAATGACGCCAGATGCCTTGGAAAAACCTAAAACAGTCACTACAATTCAACAACTGCACTTCTGGGTATATACCCCACAGAACTGAAAACAGGATGTCAGTGAATTATCTATATGCTCAAGTCATCATACCATTGGTCACAACAACCAAAAAGTGGAAGCACCTACAGATGCGTGGACAAACAAAACGTGGTCTGTCTACGAGGCTGAGAGGATTCAGCCTTGGCGGGAAATTCTGACACACACTACAACCTTAAGGACATCATCCAAAGTCACAAAAGGGCAAATTGTGTTTAATTCTACTATGAGGTGAGTAGAAGGGTGGAGTTACTATCGAATGGGCACAATTTAAGAATTCAGAGATGATGGTGACGACTATTGTATATTATGACTACTAACACCACAGAAAGATGGTTAAGATGTTAAATTTTATGTTAGACCTATTTAAAAAACAAAAAAACAAGGACATAAGTGTGAGAGAAATCAGCCCCCAGCACACACGAGGTGCTCACAGGGTGCTGGGAATGCTGTTTCTGGACCTGGGCACCGCTCAACCCAATTGTAATCACTTTGAGAAAATCCACTTTTCAAACTGTACACACGTGTAGATTTTTCTGTGTGCTGGATTTCAGTAGCACTTGCAAAAAACAAAAACCCAGGAAGCAAAAAATCCAGAACCTTTAAATCAGGACATAAAAACAAATGAAGGATATTGGAAGAAACTGAGAAAATCTGCAACAAAATACACAGAGGGGTTAAGAGGTTTCTGGTGGCCCAGTTTGGGCAGGAGTTGAGATCCACAGAGCCCTCTAGTTGCAGTGAGAGTAACAGGACAGACAGACTTTTCCCGGCCCCAAATTCCACAATGCCTTGGGAATGCCTGAGTTGCTCATATCCACCATGCTGAGCCCTTCCCTGCAGGGAGGATTTTGGGTGTTCCAGGGGTGTGCTGTCAAAGTTCCATTCCATGCAGGCAGTGCTGTGGGCTCAGTGAAAGCCCAGGCATGTGGCTTCCTGAGACCTGGAGGGTGAGTCACCCAGATGGACGGCTCAGCCCTCCCCTGCCAGCGAGCAGTACAAGGACTCTTGGCTCCCTGCACATAATGGCTGTTGAGAAAGATGACACATCAGTTCCCAGTACAATGCCTGTCACAGAGCAGGTCTCAGTTAAAGTTCCTTTCACTCCCTTCAACCTAAAGGCAAAGTGCACTTCTGTGCAGCTCAAGGCAGAAGGCCAGAAAGACAGGGATTCAGAGCCTGTTTCTGCACTAGTCTGGGTGCATGTCCTGCCTAAGCTACCAAGGAGCAGATGGCCCCCTTTCTTGGGCTTCAACTTCTTCAATAAAATGGGAATGATGACCCCTGTCTTTAGGGGCCACCCCGACGCCCTGCTTCTGAGATTGAGCTGCCCATTAAGCCCTGGGAGTGAGCCCACATTCCCAGCACAGCTGCATAGAGTCTTGCCTGAGACCTTTAGGCGTAAGCTGTCCCCCTTACTACCCTTGGAGTGGATACCTCCTGAAGCCCCACAGGAAAGCCTCCTCCCAGCTCCGCCTCCAGGGCTTGCTTCCCAGATGTCCTGCTAGAAGGAACCCTATGCTGAGGCTATAGCCTGGCCTCCATCTGTAGCCCACCACCCTCCCAACCAACTGCCTGGCAACGTTGGAGTGGTGCTGAACTGCCTGAGCTCTCCTGGCACGTTTGGAAGGAGCGCCTTGCCAAGAACCAGTTGCACTAAGTTTGTCAGATCACTGGAAACCCAGCCAGCATGTGAGTTCCTCGAGGTCCCAGCCCACGCTCTCACAGAGCACTGGCTCTGCCACCAGAGAGGAAACTGGCAAAGGCTATCCTTCCTCTGGGTGAACCTGCTGACAGGCTCAGGGCTGGGCCTCCGCCCCTGCCAGCTGCTCCCTGGCAAAGCACAGTTCTTCCTGAATCCCATGCAGGAGCAGGAACCACAGGCTGAGCATCACCTGCTTCAGCTCTCCCAGGATGGCCTAGGCACAGTCCTCAGCCTCTCGGAGCCTCAGTCTCTGCCACTCTGGGGCTGTGGCCAGCCAGAGGCGAGCAGACGGGGCAGGCACTCAAGCAGGTGGCTGATAAAGTAGGCTTCCCCCCCAGAGCTGGCCTCGTGGGCCCAATGAGAAAGAGGGCCAGCCCAGACTCCCTCTTGGAGCTGATGCCCGGGCACAGGCCTCACACCTGCTCTGGCCATGCTGTGGTTCTCCAGTTGGCGAAGGAGCAGAAGCCGGGAAGTCAGCAAAGGGTCACCAGCAGGAAAATGATTCCAACGTTCTCCAGAGATTTCCCGAGTGTAAGTAATCCCTTCCAGGTCTCATCCCCACACCCCACAAAACTTGCCATCCTCTTGTGCTGTGGGTGCCCTGGTTTGCAAATCCGCACTTCATTATTCCTCCATATCCTGAGAGCCCGGTGACCTCCCAGGAGGGCTGTAAAAGACAAATCCCACCCTCTCTCCCACAGATACCGAGTCCCTGCCTCCTCCAGCCCATCCAGACCTCACCAACCAACACCTTAAAGTCAGTGCAGGACAAGGAGAAATACAGTCAGAGGTAAGTGTCACCCTAGGGGTGGGGGCAGGGCAGAGTGGTCACCGCCCTCCTGGTGGTGGCCAGTCCCAGGGTCGGAGGAAGCAACACAGAGGCCTGCCAGACTTCCAGAGAGGCAGACTCGGTGAGCATCGGGCTTGGGGTGGCAGCATCCCCCCGTATCCTCTCCCTAGTGGTGGGGGTGATCATCTTTTCCAAGCCGCAC